ATAGCCCCTCCACAAAGGGGGCAGTAAAGTAATAGCAAAGGACTACAGACCAATAGCGCTAACATCCCATATCATAAAAATCTTTGAAAGGGTCCTAAGAAGCAAGATCGCCACCCATCTAGATACCCATCAATTATGCAACCCAGGGCAACATTTTTCAATTCAATTCAAAGTTTATTCCTTATAAGGATTACAATGCTAAGTTTACAGAATTTGGTTATTGTGTGGTTTACATGTAATTAAGTAATGATTACAGAGTGTACCACTAGAACACCTAGCATGGCTAGGCATTTCGGGCAGACTTAGTTTAATTCTTAATTTTAAAATATTACAAATTATGAGGTAAGTTGGTATTATGGCTAAGTGACTAAATACTAGTTTGTGAGTTTAGCAATGTGAATGCTTTTGTTTTGGCACAGTACATAGTTTCAGTATTGGAGTATCATAGGATTCATTATTTTAAGATTGAGATTAATATTTCTGTTTATGGTCAAATGGGTGAGTGAGTGTAAGTGTGAACCACCAGGTGGTATTCGTGTAGTTAGTTGATGGGTGTATCAGGGAGATAAGATGTTTTCTAATGGTAGTTTTGAAGGTGATGAATGTGTCTGCAGTTCTAGAGTTCTCAGGTAGGGTGTTCCAGATTTTAGGGCCTTTGACATACATTGAATTTTTGTAAAGGTTTAGTCGGACACGGGGAATGTCGTAGAGATGTTTGTGTCTGGTGTTATGCCTGTGGGTTCTGTCACAACTATCAAGAAAGCGTTTTAGGTCAAGGTTGATATTGGAGTTTAAGGTCCTGTAGATGTAGATTGCACAGTAGTAAGTGTGGATGTACTGAACAGGGAGTAAGTTTAGATCTATGAAGAGTGGGGGGGGGGGTGTTGCCAGGGATGGGATTTAGTGATTATTCTTACTGCAGCTTTTTGTTGGGTTATTATTGGCTTTAGGTGTGTTGCTGCAGTTGATCCCCAAGCACAAATAGCATAGGTGAGGTATGGATAAATAAGTGAGTGGTATAGTGTGAGAAGGGCATTTTGCGGCACGTAGTATTGTATCTTGGAGAGGATCCCAACCGTTTTGGATACTTTTTTGGTTATGTGTTGGATATGGGTGCTGAAATTCAGGTTGTTGTCAAGGTATAGGCCTAGGAATTTGCCCTCATTATGTCTGGTAATTAGAGTGTTGTCGATCTTAATGTTAATTTGTGCATCTCCTGCTCTGCTACCAAACATAATATAGTAGGTTTTGTCAGTGTTAAGCGTAAGTTTATTGGCTGTCATCCAAGTCGATATTTTGATCACCTCTCGTTAACAATGGTGTTGAGGGTGGCAAGATTAGGGTGAGAGATGACATAAGTCGTGTCGTCAGCAAAGAGAATGGGTTTCAGGTGTTGGGATACGTTTGGAAGATCATTGATGTATATGAGGAAGAGCAGGGGACCAAGGACACTTCCCTGCGGAACTCCAGTATCAAGTGGCCGTGTTGTTGATGCTGTGTCTTTAATGGTGACATACTGATACCTATTCAAAGTTTATTCTCTATAAAGATTACAATGTTGAATTTACAGAATTTGGTTGTTGTGTGGTTTACATGTAGTTAAATAATGATTACAGTACCACTAGAACGCCTAGCATGGCTAGGCATTTCGGGCAGACTTAGTTTAATTCTTTATTTTAAAATATTACAAATTATGAGGTAAGTTGGTATTATGGCTAAGTGACTAAATACTAGTTTGTGAGTTTAGCAATGTGAATGCTTTTGTTTTGGCACAGTACATAGTTTCAGTATTGGAGTATCATAGGATTCATTATTTTAAGATTGAGATTAATATTTCTGTTTATGGTCAAATGGGTGAGTGAGTGTAAGTGTGAACCACCAGGTGGTATTCGTGTAGTTAGTTGATGGGGTGTATCAGGGAGATAAAATGTTTTCTAATGGTAGTTTTGAAGGTGATGAATGTGTCTGCAGTTCTAGAGTTCTCGGGTAGGGTGTTCCAGATTTTAGGGCCTTTGACATACATTGAATTTTTGTAAAGGTTTAGTCGGACACGGGGAATGTCGTAGAGATGTTTGTGTCTGGTGTTATGCCTGTGGGTTCTGTCACAACTATCAAGAAAGCGTTTTAGGTCAAGGTTGATATTGGAGTTTAAGGGTCCTGTAGATGTAGATTGCACAGTAGTAAGTGTGGATGTACTGAACAGGGAGTAAGTTTAGATCTATGAAGAGTGGGGGGGTGTGTTGCCAGGGATGGGATTTAGTGATTATTCTTACTGCAGCTTTTTGTTGCATTATTATTGGCTTTAGGTGTGTTGCTGCAGTTGATCCCCAAGCACAAATAGCATAGGTGAGGTATGGATATATAAGTGAATGGTATAGTGTGATAAGGGCAGTTTGCGGCACGTAGTATCGTATCTTGGAGAGGATCCCAACCGTTTTGGATACTTTTTTGGTTATGTGTTGGATATGGGTGCTGAAATTCAGGTTGTCAAGGTATAGGCCTAGGAATTTGCCCTCATTATGTCTGGTAATTAGAGTGTTGTCGATCTTAATGTTAATTTGTGCATCTCCTGCTCTGCTACCAAACATAATATAGTAGGTTTTGTCAGTGTTAAGCATAAGTTTATTAGCTGTCATCCAAGTCGATATTTTGATCAGCTCCTCATTAACAATGGTGTTGAGGGTGGCAAGATTAGGGTGAGAGATGACATAAGTCGTGTCGTCAGCAAAGAGAATGGGTTTCAGGTGTTGGGATACGTTTGGAAGATCATTGATGTATATGAGGAAGAGCAGGGGACCAAGGACACTTCCCTGCGGAGCTCCAGTATCAAGTGGCCGTGTTGTTGATGCCTGGTTGGTTTAGTTATTGTTGGTATGAGAAGTGTGTTGTTCATATTGTTGATGAAATCAGTTACAGGCTGATCATCTAGTAAGCCAAGGTTGATGTTGAAGTCTCCAGCTAAGAGAAGGTGGTGCTTATTCATTTGTCTGTTTGTTATTAGTGACTTTAATTTCTCACTGAAATTTGGGTTTAGAACAGGTCGCTCCTGTCTGTCTCAGCTACTGGATCACTACGACAAGGTCCTAGATGCACTAGAAGACAAAAAGAATGCAGATGTAATATATACAGACTTTACAAAAGCCTTCGACAAGTGTGACCATGGCGTAATAGCGCACAAAACGCGTGCTAAAGGAATAACAGGAAAAGTGGGCAGATGGATCTATAATTTCCTCACAAACAGAACACAGAGCAGAAGTCAACAGAGTAAAGTCTGAGGCGGCTACGGTGAAAAGCTCTGTTCCACAAGGCACAGTACTCGCTCCTATCTTGTTTCTCATCCTCATATCGTTGAACTTCATATTGTTTTCTGCAGCCCACTGAAAGATTTGGTTGATGTCCGCCTGGAGCTTTGCAGTGTCTGCAATGGAAGACACTGTCATGCAGATTCGGGTGTCATCTGCAAAGGAAGACACGGTGCTGTGGCTGACATCCTTGTCTATGTCGGATATGAGGATGAGGAACAAGATGGGAGCGAGTACTGTGCCTTGTGGAACAGAGCTTTTCACCGTAGCTGCCTCGGACTTTACTCTGTTGACGACTACTCTCTGTGTTCTGTTAGTGAGGAAATTATAGATCCATCGACCGACTTTTCCTGTTATTCCTTTAGCACGCATTTTGTGCGCTATTACGCCATGGTCACACTTGTCGAAGGCTTTTGCAAAGTCTGTATATATTACATCTGCATTCTTTTTGTCTTCTAGTGCATTTAGGACCTTGTCGTAGTGATCCAATAGTTGTGTCAATCGCATCTACTAGAAAAATGACAGAATGGATAATGAGAACCTTCAAAACTAGGGATGCCAAGCCCTAATATTCTAATGAAATTGCTGACCTAGAAAGTGTACAGAAAACCTTCACGGTACACATAACTGCGATAAAACACCTCAATTACTGGGAGCTCTTGAAGTTCCTGAACCTGTACTCCCTAGAATGCAGGCGGGAGATACATGATTATATACACTTGGAAAATCCTTGAGGGATTAGTACCAAACTTGCACACGAAAATTACTCCCTATGAAATCAAAACACAATAATTTGTTCATGATTGTAGCCATGTATAAACGTAAGTAACCATTCTTACAGAATTCATTACCTTTGTAACTTGTGAGCTCATTACCTTTGTACCTAGTTCAGCTATCAAAACTTTGGGGGCCCAGTCCCTGGACCCATTACGTACCTCTGTAATCTGTAAATACCTTTGTAACTTGTCATGATTGTGACCATACCTACCTGGAGTTCATTACCTTTGTAAATTGTGAGTTCATTACCTCTGTAACTTGCTCAGCTATCAAAACTTCGGAGTCCAGTCCCTGGACCAATTGTGTACCTCTGTAATCTTTTTACTACCGCCCACAGGATGGGTATTGGGTGCATAATAAACATATTAAACTAATTAAACTAAGATGATGCAGCATCCCCGCAGTGAAAAGCAGGGGCGCCACTAGCACAATAAGAGACGACACAATGAGTGTGTGTGGCCCAAGACTGTTCAACTGCCTCCCAGCATACATAAAGGGGATTACCAAGACCCCCTGGCTGTCTTCAAGAAGGCACTGGACAGGCACCTAAAGTCAGTGCCTGACCAGTCGTAAGTTTCATCCTTAAGTCGTTACCGCCGCCGTCACCGTCGTCGCCGCCGTCGCCGTCGTCGTCGCCGTCGCCGCCGCCGTCGCCGTCGTCGCCGCCGTCGCCGTCGTCGTCGCCGTCGTCGCCGCCGTCGCCGCTGTCACCGTCGTCGCCGCCGTCACCGTCGTCGCCGCTGTCACCGTCGTCACCGTCGTTGCCGCCGTTGCCGCTGTCACCGTCGTCGCCGCCGTCACCGTCGTCGCCGCCGTCACAGTCGTCGCAGCCGTCACCGTTGTCGCCACTGCCGCCGTCGCCGCCACTGCCGCCGTCGCCGCCACTCCTGCCGCCGTCGCCGCCACTTCTGCCGCCTTCGCCGCCGCCGCCTCCGCCGCCGCAGCAGCAGCAGCAGCAGCAGACGCCACCATAAACATGGCCAACGACAACAAAGCTACCAAGAATGACACAGTGGGATTGTTCCTGCAGGCCATGGGTAAGTTGAGAGTAATGATATGATCAGAGCAGTGTGAGTGCTTTATGAGAGTGGTGAGATGGACTTAAGTAGTAGTAAGTGTGTGCCAGAGTGATAGTGACGGAGATACACGTGAGTGTTGAAGGCTGAGTGAGGATGGGTCAGAGGCTGGGCGCGGTGATTTGACTTACCATCAACACTCATCATGACTTTTACTCACCCAAACTTATCTTCTTTGTCACATTCATCATTGTATATATGATAGTATAACGGTGGGAATGTTAGAACGTTATATAATAATATCAGTCAACATTTATCTTAGCCGCACGTTCTTAATTCATTGATGGTGAAATTATTCTTTTAGCTAACAATGCTTTATAGTACAGTGCTGATGATGTATGAAGCTTGATACTACAGCTACTGCTACAGTACTGTACCTGATGATGTATGAAGCTTGATACTACAGCTACTGCTACAGTACTGTACCTGATGATGTATGAAGCTTGATACTACAGCTACTGCTACAGTACTGTACCTGATGATGTATGAAGCTTGATACTACAGCTACTGCTACAGTACTGTACCTGATGATGTATGAAGCTTGATACTACAGCTACTGCTACAGTACTGTACCTGATGATGTATGAAGCTTGATACTACAGCTACTGCTACAGTACTGTACCTGATGATGTATGAAGCTTGATACTACAGCTACTGCTACAGTACTCTAGCTGATGATGTATGAAGCTTGATACTACAGCTACTGCTACAGTACTGTACCTGATGATGTATGAAGCTTGATACTACAGCTACTGCTACAGTACTCTAGCTGATGTATGAAGCTTGATACTACAGCTACTGCTACAGTACTGTACCTGATGATGTATGAAGCTTGATACTACAGCTACTGCTACAGTACTGTACCTGATGATGTATGAAGCTTGATACTACAGCTACTGCTACAGTACTGTACCTGATGATGTATGAAGCTTGATACTACAGCTACTGCTACAGTACTGTACCTGATGATGTATGAAGCTTGATACTACAGCTACTGCTACAGTACTGTAGCTGATGATGTATGAAGCTTGATACTACAGCTACTGCTACAGTACTCTAGCTGATGATGTATGAAGCTTGATACTACAGCTACTGCTACAGTACTCTAGCTGATGATGTATGAAGCTTGATACTACAGCTACTGCTACAGTACTGTACCTGATGATGTATGAAGCTTGATACTACAGCTACTGCTACAGTACTGTACCTGATGATGTATGAAGCTTGATACTACAGCTACTGCTACAGTACTGTACCTGATGATGTATGAAGCTTGATACTAAGCTACTGCTACAGTACTGTACCTGATGATGTATGAAGCTTGATACTACAGCTACTGCTACAGTACTGTACCTGATGATGTATGAAGCTTGATACTACAGCTACTGCTACAGTACTGTACCTGATGATGTATGAAGCTTGATACTACAGCTACTGCTACAGTACTGTACCTGATGATGTATGCAGCTTGATACTACAGCTACTGCTACAGTACTGTACCTGATGATGTATGAAGCTTGATACTACAGCTACTGCTACAGTACTGTACCTGATGATGTATGCAGCTTGATACTACAGCTACTGCTACAGTACTGTAGCTGATGATGTATGAAGCTTGATACTACAGCTACTGCTACAGTACTCTAGCTGATGATGTATGAAGCTTGATACTACAGCTACTGCTACAGTACTGTACCTGATGATGTATGCAGCTTGATACTACAGCTACTGCTACAGTACTGTAGCTGATGATGTATGCAGCTTGATACTACAGCTACTGCTACAGTACTGTACCTGATGATGTATGAAGCTTGATACTACAGTTACTGCTACAGTACTGTACCTGATGATGTATGCAGCTTGATACTACAGCTACTGCTACAGTACTGTACCTAAAGATGTATGCAGCTTGACACTACAGCTACTGCTACAGTACTGTACCTGATGATGTATGAAGCTTGATACTACATCTACTGCTACAGTACTGTACCTGATGATGTATGCAGCTTGACACTACAGCTGCTGCTACAGTACTGTACCTGATAATGTATGTAGCTTGACACTACAGCTGCTGCTACAGTACTGTACCTGATGATGTATGCAGCTTGACATTACAGCTACTGCTACAGTACTATACCTAATGATGTATAAAGCTTGATACAACAGCTACTGCTACAGTACTGTACCTGATGATGTATGAAGCTTGACACTACAGCTACAGTACTGTACCTGATAATGTATGCAGCTTGCTACTACAGCTACTGCTACAGTACTGTACCTGATGATGTATGCAGCTTGACATTACAGCTACTGCTACAGTACTATACCTAATGATGTATAAAGCTTGATACTACAGCTACTGCTACAGTACTGTAGCTGATGTTGTATGAAGCTTGATACTACAGCTACTGCTACAGTACTGTACCTGATGATGTATGAAGCTTGATACTACAGCTACTGCTACAGTACTGTACCTGATGATGTATGAAGCTTGATACTACAGCTACTGCTACAGTACTGTACCTGATGATGTATGAAGCTTGATACTACAGCTACTGCTACAGTACTGTAGCTGATGTTGTATGAAGCTTGATACTACAGCTACTGCTACAGTACTGTAGCTGATGTTGTATGAAGCTTGATACTGCAGCTACTGCTACAGTACTGTAGATGATGCATGAAGCTTGACACTACAGCTACTGCTACAGTACTGTAGTTGATGATGTATGAAGCTTGACACTACAGCTACTGCTACAGTACTCTAGCTGATGATGTATGAAGCTTGACATTACAGCTACTGCTACAGTACTGTAGCTGATGATGTATGAAGCTTGACACTACAGCTACTGCTACAGTACTGTAGCTGATGTTGTATGAAGCTTGACACTACAGCTACTGCTACAGCACTGTAACTGATGTTGTATGAAGCTTGACACTACAGCTACTCTTACAGTACTGTTACTGATGCTGTATGAAGCTTGACACTACAGCTACTGTAGCTGATGCATGAAGCTTGACACTACAGCTACTCTTACAGTACTGTAGCTGATGCTGTATGAAGCTTGACACTACAGCTACTCTTACAGTACTGTAGCTGATGCTGTATGAAGCTTGACACCTCGGCTACTGTTACAGTACTGCAGCTGATGTATGAATCTTGACACTGCAGCTACTCTTGCAGTACTGTATCTGATGTTGTATGAAGTTTGACACAACAGCTACTCTTACAGTACTGTATCTGATTTGCATGAAGCTTAACACTGCAGCTGCTGTTGCATGAAGCTTAACACTGCAACTGCTGTTACAGTAATGTAGCTGATGTTGCATGAAGCCTAACTAAACCAGATGAACCTCACATCCATCCTGTAGCCACTGAGAGCAAACTTATTGTCTTCTTCTTCTCTAGTATAGGATTGAAACTAGCAAGCAAAATCTCAACTGCAAATATTCAGGTGAAAGACTATATTACTGGAAATTTTCCAAATACCACTCTATATCTAGCTCCAGCTAGTCCTACTGAAGTCTCTCATCATAAAGTTACTGAAAAACAAGACAGGAACCTTAAATAACTCACCACCACTCATGTACAAAAAAGCAACTCATGTTCTATCACTCATTATTTCAACTGCTTAACAAATCTGTTGAATGTTCAACTTTCCCATCCATTCTCAAGATAGCAAGGGTTACCCTATTCCTCAAAGAAGGCATTCCAACTGAAGTGATTTACTATATGCCTATATCAAACTTACCATTATTATCTAAAATCTTTGAAAAAATAATAAATAAGAAAGTTTGCTCCTACCTAATATCTCACAACATACTTAACCCGTCAGTTTTTGTTTAAGCCAAAAAAAAAAGGTATGAAAGATGCAATTATACAAATGTGTGAACTGCTTTATGCAGCACTTGAAAAAATGAATATCCTCTCGGATTCTTCATGACCTACGGAAAGCATGTGTTACAGTGGACCACAGTATCTTGCACCATAAACTAGACCATTATGGGGTCAGATGACATACCCATGCATACCTGAAATCTTAGCAATAGATACCAGTATGTCTCCACAAATGGTGTAATCTCATCTACTTAGCCTGTAGCCATTGGAGTGCCCCAAGGTATAAGCCTTGCTGAATTTAAACAGTACTACAGAAGGAATACTAGCAAAATAGCTATGAGTTTGATAGACTGGAACAATGGAATGGGCCAAAAACAGGGCATAAATTGGGTAATCCGGCAAAATCACTAATCCAACACCCTACAGGTCCCAGATTTGTGATGGCTGACCTGTATTTGAGCTGATTTTCTCTATTATGATTATTACACTATACAGTATACTACTGTATAAACATTTAAAAATATACCAGAAATGTTATAAATGGTGTAAAGGTGACATTAAAACAATATCAAACATGGTTGACACAAACACACTACCATTATAGTATGCTCCTCACTTAGTGATGAATTCATTTACCGACTTGGTCTTAAGGATGGAACTCCATCATTAAGTGAGGAGAGGCTGTATATGTATTTCCCCCTGTGAAATATAACATACAAAGTTAATATTGGAGGTCTCAGATGCCCCTTCATGCAGCATCATTTGCCCATCACTACAAACTTACCTATAACTTAATTAAATACTAACTTAGGGGAAGGTAGAATACATAATAGCAAAGAAAGAGTAAAAGATGGTCATTGGCTCGTGCAATTCTTAGTAATTCCAGAAGACAGTTGGCAGTTAGCATACAAGATTTTATATATACATTGACTAGAAAAAATCAGAAAATAAAAAAAAAACATTTATTTAAAGTATATACAAATCAGTAATAAAATAAATTTAATGGAAAAATAAACACAAATGCAGTATAATATGATTCTTTATTAACTGTTTGGGTGAAACTTAGTCTATAAAGGATTGCATCATACTGCATTTGTATCTGTTTTTCCAGCATGTCAGTATTTTACACCAATTATCTTGATAATTTTTTATGTTAATTCACTGATTTATCATACTAATCTACTCATTTCCTCTACCTGCTCTCAGTTGATTTATCTTGGTCTCAGTTGCCTCATCTTGGTCTCAGTTGCCTCATCTTGGTCTCAGTTGCCTCATCTTGGTCTCAGCTACCCTGCTTGGTCTCAGTTACCCTGCTTGGTCTCAGCTACCCTGCTTGGTCTCAGTTACCCTGCTTGGTCTCAGCTACCCTGCTTGGTCTCAGTTACCCTGCTTGGTCTCAGTTACCGTGCTTGGTCTCAGTTACCCTGCTTGGTCTCGTTTCCTGCACTTGACAGTACATGCTGGACACAACAGACAAATGATGCCACGTTGTGAATATTATCTTGCTAATGACAAATAAAGAAAAAATAACTTTACAGTTTAGTAATTACAGTAATAAAAGTGGTGCAGTACATGGGAACACCCATGAAGTGAGCTTATCCATGTTTAAGAATAATCAAGTATACCTTTAATGGACAGGAATTTTGTCTCAGATTGATAAATACCTTTTATATAACATAACAACAATAATTTTTTATTTATTATATATTTATTTATTAACCCTTTGACTGTCGCAACCCCCAATCCTGAGGTGTCTCCTGGTGTCGCAAAATTTAAAAAAAAAAAAATTATTTTTTCTTATGAAATGATAGAGAATCTTTTCCCGATTGTAATGACACCAAAAAAACGAAATTTGATGGAAAACTGACGGAATTATGCTCTCGCGAAGTTAGCGACCTCGGCGCTGTTTACAAATCGGCGATTTCGCCCACTTTGAGCCCTATTTTCGGCTAATTCCATTGTTCCAGTCGCCCAAACTCATAGCTATTTCTTTAGAACTTCATTTTTTCTATCGATTGAATACAAGAAACTGCCCATTTACTGATTTCAACTACCTAATAATGTGGTCAGAAATTTGCAATTTGGCCAATTTCACGAAAACTAAAAAATATGACAATTTCAAAATAAGGTCCAGAATGAACAATGCAGACATTCCTGGCTCTAAAATAACATTTTCTTTGTTCATCAGTCACGTCTCCAGGCCCTTCTGATATTACTCTTGCTTTCTATTTTGAATTTTTATTCAAACAAAAAATATTAGACTTACTATTATGCAGACTACTGCAATGCTGTAATAACTGTATAAATAACATCAACCCATTCATGACTGCATATTAGAATGGCTAGTTGGACATTTATTGGACAATGGCATCATTTGTTTACTTTTGAACATTGGCAAAAATCAAACATTTCCCCTACTTTGAGCTCCATTTCTAGGTTCTTTTTATAGTAAAATCAATCAAAATCACCTCTATTTCTGTAATATGTTTTCCATTCTATCAAATGAGACCAAGAAAACGAGAATACAACCATAAATACTATACGAAAATAGACCACAAAGTCGGCATTTTAATTAAAAAAAACGGTCAGTTTTTTTTTTTTCTCATTATGCACTGCGTGCTCCAGGATTTTTTTTATATGGTGTACACTGACCACACAGACCCATTCTCTCACATGTGGGCCTACCAGCTTTCTCCTGCTTGATTTGAAGCCGCTAGAATTTATGAGTATATATACGTCAAACACGGCACCTCGTAAAACGTATATATACGGCCGTGACAGTCAAAGGGTTAATTATCACACTGGCCGATTCCCACCAAGGCAGGGTGGCCCGAGAAAGAAAAACTTTCACCATCATTCACTCCATCACTGTCTTGCCAGAAGGGTGCTTTACACTACAGTTTTTAAACTGCAACATTAACACCCCTCCTTCAGAGTGCAGGCACTGTACTTCCCATCTCCAGGACTCAAGTCCGGCAAACAATAATAGTAACATAATTTTTATTTTGGCATAATACATGTTTATACAAAGGAATGTAACAATTTGGTGAATATGCCAAAAGCCACTTTATAATGCAGAGTATTTTGGGCAAACTTAAGACTAACTTAAGATTAGTAAGGCAGTAACAAGGCTGTAATTGAGCATACCATTATTAGGTGAGTTACAGTGAATACAAGAAAATTCAGTATTCAACTAGTTCATGCTATATCGCTTTAATTAGTTAGGTAGAGAAGAATTACAGTTTTGATATAGTATATAAAAAAATACAGTATTACAATTTAGAACAATGAAGTTGAAACAATTTTAAGTCTGCTGCATTGAAGTAATATATAGATGGTGGTGATGTATTCACTATACTCCCCATGTCTGCTGTATTGAAGCAGTATAGATGGTGGTGATGTCTTCACTATACTCCCCAAGTCTGCTGTACTGAAGCATTATAGATGGTGATGATGTCTTTTCTCACATAAGATGTTTATTTAACCCGTAAACAGTCCAAACGTATATATGTTTTTTCAACATTTGAAAGTATGTAAAAAAAGTATATCTTCTTTTTGTTTTTTACATTTGAAAATGTGTAAAAAAACTTTGATCTACTTTTTTTTTTGTTATATTTGAAAATATGTAAAAAAAACGTAGATCTACTTTTGTAGCACTACACATGTGAACGTAGATCTGCTTGGACCGTTTACGAGTTAACATAATGCATTTGTTTGTGTATTTACCTAGTTTTGTTTGAAGAAATTAAGATCCAGCTTCTGGATGCTGTCTTTGACTATTGTGTTGTGTATGGGCTTGGTTCCACATCTGTCTGTTTTATCCTGAAGACTCACTTGCATGTTTATTTTTCTTTTATACCTCTCAGCATGTTGAACGTCTTTTAAAAATTGTCTTTAATCATCTTCTCATTATTTACCTTTTAGTATTTTGTGTTTTCATTATGTTCCTTCTGAACCTTTTTTTTTTTTTTCTCCATTGTTTATTATGGTTTACTTTTTTGTTTATCCTCATGGGTCAGGTTCTTTATTAATATTTATATTATCTGGTGTGCATTCTTCTATAAAGGAAAAGGTGTCTGTGTTTATTATTAGATTAATATTTTTATGAAGCCATTGTTATTTTTAACCTACATTTTATAGCATTTGCATTAGAATTAGAGGATTAGATTGAAAAAATCATCTGTATGTATGCTTAATGTCTGGTTGATTATTATTATTAATTTGAATTTTTATTCTAAAATGTGCTGTAATGGATAACAAATTATGAGTGTAAAATTTGTTTTTTGCAAGTTTGGATTAATGAGCAGTTCAGAAATAATGTGATTTAGCTGCAGACTAAAACAACAGGTTTGGTGTTAATACGTGTTTGTTACTTGATGATCTTAACTGGTTAGCACTGCTGTGTTAATTTGTTAATCTCTTTACAGTGGACCGTGAACCGGGGAAAAGAAAAGTGAAACCGTCCAAAGCTGCACTTGTTGACCTGTCAGAATTAGATTTGGGAGAAAGTTCAGATGACAGTGACTTCAATGTTGATGAAGCCAAACTGAATGATGATGATGATATTTCTATTAATAGTGATCCAGATGCTCCTGATATCGATGATGATGACTATGATGACGAGGATGATGATGAGATGGAAGATGAAGGTGAAAGTGAAGAAGAGATAGAAACACCACCTGATAAAGAAAAGAACCTAAGTGTCACTCAATTGTTGGAACAAGCAAAGAAGAAACAGGCTCTAGAGGTACATAAGACACATTAGTAAGAGCATGAAAAAAAGAGTAGATGTAGTAGGAATACAGTTGATTTTTTAAGATTTAGTTTTTTTAAGTTGGCCTTTTTCTGTTAATGTTTGAATGTTTTGATATTTTTTTGGTAAAAGCTTTGAAAATTTAATTAGTAAATGGTTTGCATCTATTACCAGATGTGATGACTGGTCGGTCAAGCTAAACACCATCAGATACCAAGTATAGCACTCTTGATACTAGATGGGTGACCATATAAAATTAGATTGTATTTTAATCAGGGTATTCAACAAATTCTAATCATGCAATAGAGCGAAAAAATAATGTGAAGGACCTGGGAGTGATAATGTCAGAGGATCTCACCTTCAGAGACCACAACAGTGTATCTTCCGCATCCACAAGAAAAATGATAGGATGGATAATGAGAACCTTCAAAACTAGGGATGCCAAGCCCATGATGATTCTCTTCAAATGGCATCTTCTCTATAGGCTGGAATACTGCTGTACACTAACTGCCCTCTTCAAGGCAGGCAAAATTGCTGACCTGGAGGGTGTACAAAGAACTTTCATGGCACACATAAGTGCGATAAGGCACCTAAATTACTGGGAACCGTTGAAGGCCCTTCATTTGTATTCCCTGGAATGCAGGCGAGAGAGATAGATAATAATATACACTTGGAAAATCCTAGAGGGATTAGTACGAAACTTGCTCACAAAAATCACTCCCTATGAAAGCATAAGATTCGGCAGGAGATACAACATTCTCCCACTGAAAAGCAGGGCCGCCATGAGTACACTGAGAGACAACACAGTAAGTGTCTGGGACCCAAAACTGTTCAACTGCCTCCCAGAATACAGTAGACCCCTGGCTGTCTTCAAAGGGCACTGGACAGGCACCTAAAGTCAGTACCTGACCAGCCAGGCTGTGGTTCATATGTTTGTATGTGGCCAACAGTAACAGCCTGGTTGATCAGAGCCTGATCCACCATGAAGCCTGGTCTAAGACTGGGCCGCGGGGGTGTTGACCCCTGAAACCCTCTCCTGGTATACTCCAGGTAACCGAGATAGCTTCAGTATATTAATTATTGACAATCAGTCCTTTGTTGGGTATGTATATCTGTTGTAAAATTTCAGTAAATATTCTGTATATGGTATATATTTTAGGTATGGTTGTATCAGCTAGTGGGTCTGAAGAACAAGGTATGGCACACTGTGTAGGAGAAAGAAAATTGCTAGTGTTGAGTGTGTGTAGGTGGGTGCACAGATGAGTATATTGCAGAGTGGTGATAACACACTTGTATTGGTGTGAGGCATGGTCATTAAATGTTGAGGCAAGAAGGATGTTGGAGGCAATGACAATGAGAGTGTTGTGCAGTAGGAATATTTTGCAGAGAGTAAGGAATAAAGAAATTAGTGGATGGTGTTTTGTTATTAATGTTATACAATAATTTAAAGAGTGGAAGAGGGCTATTGAGATTTCGATAAAATGATGGGATAGATCTTGTTCATTAGTTATTTTATACCTGTGACCTGTGACTTATTGTCTTACTATGATTATGCCATCACAAGTAAACATTGTTGAATGTTTTTCTTATGATCATGTTTGAGTTTACGAAGTCTATACAGTAGTCTGTTGCTTTTTGTTAGACACTCATTTACATACACTCTCTGCTTAATTTTAATGGAAGTACAGTATTGATTAGGTCCTTTTGTTGAGTCAGTTGAATGGAATCTTAGCATAACACTTTGCTTTTGTCCCGGTTTGCCTAACAGTCGGGCCTCCTTGATCTGATAATTTTTTAAGTTAACCTTCAGCTCATCTTTGACTGACTGAAGTGCGATGTTTAAACAAGTATCTTGGTTTGTGTCTGTAGGTAAACTAGTACTGTTTAGAATTATGACATCTAGTGATGTTTCTTGTTCCATTAGATACTTTTCATTCTGTAGGCATGTACTCAATTGAGAGTCCATGTTTGACTTCCAGTCTTGTACAGCTTCTGCCAGCTGGGCTTTTAGGGAAGTTATTTGTTCAGTATGACTCACAACAGTTGTTTGAATTCCAGTATGTTCCTCATTCTTTTTGGTCAGGTTAGTCAGTTTTTCCTCTAGTTTGCTAATCCTTGTACTTTGAGTCAGTTTAGAGTGCTCTGGTTTGCTGATGCTTGCATTTTGAGTCATCTGAGAGCACTCTAGATCTTCAATCTTTTTTTCATTGGGTTTGTTTTGTGAATGCAGCATACTATTTTCTTGTATAATGATGTGTAGGTTATTGATGAACTGTTGTTGGTGAGGACTGAGTATCTGGGCTGTACCTGGGGATGTAGATGAGTTGTGGTCAGTGCTGTCAATTGGGGTGAAGTGGTCTTGTAGGTCAGCCGTGGTTGATGATGTATGGTTAGCTGGGGTATGGGAAATGGCTGAATCCTTCAAATGAAGGGGAGTGATCCAACATGATTGTTGTTGTGTAGCCCTGGGCAGTGCTTGGGGGGGGGGGGGTGGATGATGATTCTCTGGCATCCTTCAGGGTAGACATGATAGGTATAAGTTTCCTTGTCGTTTTGGTACTATTCTTGGAGTTGTTTCTCCTGTGTTTCCCTCCCATGTGAACACTGGTGCAGTTGGTGTGGGCAGTGCAGTTACGGAGAATTTAGTGGTACACGTTGCAGGGCTGATGTTTGGTATGTCGGGCAGTTTTCTTTTTGGTCATCTATTTGGTCAGGTTGTAGACATCACTGTCATTTTTTTGGGGTCATTATGGGTTCCACGTATGTTACTGCAGTAGTACTTGCAATTAGACCATCACAGGAGCTGAAATTGTTCCAAGGGGCTGTGGGTAGAATGAAAGGGGGTAAAGCATCTGGGATTGATAGGATCAAGACAGAAATGTTAAAAGCAGGTGGGGATATAGTTTTGGAATAGTTGGTGCTTTTATTTAATAAATGTATGGGAGAGGGGAAGATGCCTAGGAATTGGCAGAGAGCATGCACATTTCTTTTGTATAAATGCAAAGGAGACAAAAGAGAGGGCTCCTTTAGTGCTCCTTGTCTTATCCTTAGACTTAACCCACTTCTGCCACTGCTGCTGCTACGACTGCTACTACTAATACTTCTACATCTACATCTCCTTTATTACTATTACTGCTTCTACCTTCTACTACTATTACTACCACTACTATTGCCTCCCTTTGTTCCCCTTTCTCTCTCTTGTGGCATTAACTACTCCCCCTACTCTCTACTACCTCTACTACTACTACCACCACTACCAGCATTACCACTACTGTTACTTCTTGTTCCTCCTCTCTTTCTCCCGTCCATGTCCTCCTCGCCTATATATCCTGGCTCACTCACTCCCTTCTGTCAGTGTGACTTGTGAATGGTCCAGGATGGGCCAAAATGTCATCATGAGCTTTTCTCTCTCTTATGTGTGGGTTATTTGTGTATGTGTAATCATTACATATGAACATCAAGACTTTTGACTGCCTTAATGTTGGCCTCTCGAAGCAACACAGTCATTGAACATCTTGAAAATGGTTCAGTATTTTGCTGTTCCTAGGGAGCTGGTTGAGGGACCATGCTCTGTTTTTGTGCTTTTCTGTGTAAGCTGAAGTTTGATTATGGCTGTCAGGTCTGTTTGTTGCTTGTTCTATTCTCCTGAAAATGGTAGATGATGTTCATGTTTCTCATCTAGGTATCACACTGTGCTAGGCATTCAGAGCTTCCTAAGTTTAGTCTGTAGATTCTGGCTTACTCCCTTTGATCTTCTGTGTAAAAGTCTGAGTTAGACGTTTATGGTAAATAATTTTTAAGAGGTGGCATTCTTTCAATGGTAGGAGGGGTTTGTTCACCTTTGCTTTGTAGTATGACTAATATCCTTCCATATGCCCAACCATGGGTCTCATTATTTTGTATATAAGAGCTTGCAAATGGATATGTATTACTTTACTTTTTTCAAAATGCTAATAATTTTTACTTATGCTATCTGATCACTTTATTACCAAAAATTCATCACTTCTCAGGGTGTGGAACGGCCTAAAATCTTGGTGTGTGCTGTATGTCTTGGCGATCACTCTGATGATGTAAATGAAATTGTGACCTGTGATGGATGTAGTGTGTCTGTCCATGAAGGCTGCTATGGTATTAGTGACTCAATATCAGTATCAAGCACAGTTTCATCAAGTTCTACTGAACCTTGGTTTTGTGATGCCTGTAAGGCAGGTGTGGTGAATCCACCTTGTGAACTTTGTCCAAATCTTGGTAAGTCCAGTATGTTATCATCTCAGATCTTTTCACCTCTTCCACATAGCATTGCATGACCTGTACAGGCTTAGTTCTTTTTATAATAATAATCCAGTCAGATCAGTCCATAATCAGTCGTATAGGAACAATTCAGATTTAGTAATTAGGTAATGTTAAGTTAATGGGAGAACATTGCACCACAGGTTAAATATCGATTTATCTGTAGTGTAGCAACTGTGTACAAGATACTTCTCTTGTAAGTCTACTCATTTATTATGTAACATGATACGTAAGTTTTAAAAGATGTAAGCACAAAGATGTTTTTAGCAGGAAAAATCACCAGTTTAAGGGGTAATGGGATCAGAGCTAGTTATTACATCCTGCTCCATAAATCCATCATCAGTTTTACAAACTAAAATGTACCAGTTTGGTATCATCTCCCAGAATATTTTTGATTTATATGACATTAGTTATTTTGATCAAAGGGATTTTTGTTAACTTATGAAAAAACTGTTACAGTTTTGTTAAATTTCATTTTAATGTGCTTTTCATAACTAAACAAAAAAAAAGTTACCTTAGATGTTAAGCAAAAGTTTCTCCAATTTTTTTCTTATATGTATAAAAGACATTGCTTTGGTATACAACTGTTTGAGATGTATGAATATGAAGCTGATAGTGTTAGATGTTACTGTATACACAGGGAAGAAAACTAGAAAACACAAGAGACCAGTTAGGAATATCTGCCTGTGCTGTCATAAGGTAATCTACCTTACCTTGGCAAGGAAGCATACTTTATTGAGAGGTAATTGCTTCATAAGCCCATTATGATTTCTTGAAGGTAAACATTATAGAACTGTGTGGGACAGTATGAGGAAAATAGATTAGAAAATAGATTTGTACTGGTCTTTTACAGTTTCACTTGTTTCTTCTTCGTCATCAGAGGATGAGCTTCCTGTGAGTAGTGGGCCAATTCTAAAGTTTTTTTTACTTGGATTTTATATATGTGTAGAAACATTTTAGAACTTTTTGCATTTGTTGATATGAGTTAAGGGTTCTCTGGATCATTACCCATGAAATATCTGATACTGTGGTTCTCTGTTTACCTTGTCCCAGTCATTGCTCTGATTGTTGAACAGTCTTTCATATAGACTATTTTTTAGGTTCTGTATGCATGGATTTATGCTTGTCTGTACTTCAGCAAGATTATGATTGGAATATATTGTATTTGATGTTTGTCTCAAGTGCCCTTATACAGCAAAACTTTTTTTCAGGGTATACAATTTTCAAGGAGACAGAGATGGGGAGGTGGGTGCACTTAGTGTGTGCCTTATACATTCCTGGTGTTGCCTTCAGTGAGGTTGGTAATTAAAAACCTTAAATTTAAAATTAATATTACATAAATTTTAGAAAAGTACCAATACAGAATACAAATTTAAATACAGCTGGTAAACGTATGTTATGTTTATTATTTAAAACTGTTTAGCTACAGTAATACACTACAGCCTCTCCTCACTTAGCGACATATTCGTTTACCAACTACTCGGACTAATGACGGGCTCTCTGACCAGTATGCATGCCTAAATAATGTATATTAGAGCTGATTTCTTCTTTTCTGTTTATTACATTATACAGAACACTACTGTATAAACATTTAAAAATATACCAGAAATGTTATAAATGGTGCAAAGGTGACATTAAAACAATATCAGAGATGCTTGACACAAACACACTACCACTATACTATGCTCCTCTCTTAGCGATGAATTAGTTTACTGATGTGGTCTTAGGAACGAAGCTCCATCGTTAAGTGAGAAGAGGCTATAGTGTACTGGATCTTTTCATTCCAGATAGGGTTTATTCTGGCTCAAACTGTCTGTTTCATGTTTCATGGACACATGCGGTTTAATGAAAGGTTAGATGGTGAGATAGCATACTATAATTTTTTTTGCCTAGTGATGCACCTGACTTAAATTTTGTTTACAAACTGCAAATATACATCATTTTATTCTCTATTTACATTGAATTCCAAATTACTATGGTGACATATCTAAACAGGATAAATTGAACTCCTATTCTGCAAGCCTGCCTGTCTGCTTGCTTGCTCCTGCAAGCAAGCAGATAGGCAAAAGCAAATTGTGCAAAAAGTGCCACAAGTGGCAGAGGAAACACAAGGCACTGCAATGTCTTCATTTTTATTAACCCTTTGAGGGTCAAGACCCTTGATCCTGAACTCCCACTCAGGAGGGAAAAAATTTCTAAAAAAAAAAGAAAAAAAAATTTTTCTTATGAAATGATAGAGAACCTTTTCCTGATGGTAATGACACAAAAAGTATGTAATTTGATGGGAAACTTAGGGAATTATGCTCTCGCAAAGTTAGCGGTCTTGACGATATTTACGCATGTGATTTTGCCCACTTTGAGCCCTATTTTCGGCCAATTCCATTGTTCCAGTCTACTAAAATCATAGCTATTTTGCTAGAACTCCATTTGTTCTATCAGTTGAGTACAAGAAACTGCCCATTTACCAATTTCAACTACCCAATAAAGTGGTCAGAAATTGGCAGTTTGGCCAATTTCACACAAATTTCAAAAGATGCCAATTTCAAAATAGGGTCCAGAATAAGCAAGACAGACATTCCTGGCACTAAAATAGTACTTTCTCTGTTCATTAGTCACATCTCCAGGCCCCTCTTATATTACTCTTGCTTGCCATTTTGAGTTTTTATTCTCACAAAAACTAGAAGATTTACTGTTATGCAGACTACTGCATTTTTGTAAAAAATGGTATAAATAATATCAGTGCACTTGTGAAAGAATATTAGACTCGCCAGTTGACATGTATTGGTCGCGTGGCGTGATTTTTTACCCTTGAACATCGGCAAAAATCAAACATTTCTGCTACATTGAGCTCAATTTCAAGGTACTTTTCACCGTGAAACCAATCAAAATCATATCTATTTCTGTAATATATTTTCCACTCTATCAAATGAGACCAAGAAAACGAGCATACAATAATAAATACCATACAAAAATACACTGCAAAGTCACTGTTTTAAAGCAAAAACATCGTCGGAGTTTTTTTTCTCATTATGCACTGCTTGCTGCAGGAATTTTTTTTATACTGTGCACACTGACCACGCAGACCCATTCTTTCATATGTAGGCCTACCAGCTTTCTTCCACTAGATTTGAAGGTGCTAGAATTTTGGCGTATAAGTACATGACCAACCCTGGCTGTTAAGATGTACGTGTACATGACCGACCCTCAAAGGGTTAAAAATATAATTATTCCTTGCTCTCATGTATCTATTTATAATACATATGTAGTAGGTTTAATGCCTTTGATCACATGCACAGAGAGTATGTGGCCTCCATAGTTTCTTTTCCAGATAATGTTTTCAGCTTTACCACTTTACATGAATATAATAAAAATTTAAATTCAACTGTATTAAAACATCTGGAAGAGGACATGCAGAGCATTTTTCAGGTAACCAAACCTTACCATTTTTACATGTTCTTATAACTTAATGTGAAAGACACATGCAGCTCTTCAGTATCTTTATTGCGGCTTCTTTATTCTAATACAGAGGTGATTTTAAGGAAGCCATGTAGCCTGTCATACCATGATTTATATGCCTTTCAAGTCACTTTGTTTTGTTCCATCCTCTTTGAATGTCCAAACCACATCAGCAACCCTTTCTCTGCCCTCTGGATAATACTTATAGAAACCCTGCACCTCCTCCTATTCTCCAAGCTACGGATTCTCTGCATTATATTCACACAGCACATTGCCCTCAGACACTACATCTCCACTGTCTCCAGCCTTCTCGTTGTTGCAACATTCACCACCCATGCTTCACAACCATATAAGAGCATTGGTATAAATATACTCTCATACATTCCCTTCTTTGCTTCCATGGATAATGTTCTGTCTCCACAGACTCCTCAGTGCTCCACTCACATTTTTTCTATGATTCACCTTATCTTTCATAGATCAGTCTCCTATTAAGTCCACTCCCAAATACATATCTGAATACATTTATTTCCTCCATACTTCCTCCCTCCAATCTGATATCCAATCTTTCATTACCTAAATTTTTTTGTTATCCTCATCACCTTGCTCTTTCCTACATTCACTTTTAATTACCTTCTGTGACATACCCTTTCAGACTATTTCACCACCCTCTGCAACTTCTCTTCACAATCTCCCAAAAGTACAGTGTCATCAGATTCTTTATCTCTTAATCCCACACCTCTTGCCAACACTCGAGCATTCACTTACAATCCCATCTATAAATATATTGAACACCCATGGTGATATCACGCATCCCTGTCTAATGCCTCCTTTTACTAGGAAATAATCTTCTCTCCTACATATTCTAAACTGAGCCTCACTGTCCTCGTAAAAACTCTTCACTGCTTTCAGTAACCTACCACCTATTCCATGCATTTGCAATATCTGCCATATTGCTCTTCTAGCCACCCTATCATATGCCTTTCCCAAATCCATAATTTTTTTTTTTTTTAACAAGTCGGCTGTCTCCCACCGAGGCAGGGTGACCCAAAAAGAAAGAAAATCCCCAAAAAGAAAATACTTTCATCATCATTCAACACTTTTACCTCACTCACACATAATCACTGTTTTTGCAGAGGTGCTCAGAATACAACAGTTTAGAAGCATATATCTATAAAGATACACAACATATCCCTCCAAACTTCCAATATCCCAAACCCCTCCTTTAGAGTGCAGGCATTGTACATCCCATTTCCAGGACTCAAGTCCGGCTATATAAAAATAACTGGTTTCCCTGAATCCCTTCACTAAATATTACCCTGCTCACACTCCAACAGCTCTTCAGGTCCCAAATACCATTTGTCTCCATTCACTCCTATCGAACACTCTCACGCACGCCTGCTGGAAGTCCAAGCCCCTTGCCCACAAAACCTCCCTTACCCCTTCCTTCCAACCTTTTCGAGGACGACCCCTACCCCACTTTCCTTCCCCTACAAATTTATACGCTCTCCATGTCATTCTACTTTGATCTATTCTCTCTAAATGACCAAACCACCTCAACAACCCCTCTTCAGCCCTCTGACTTATACTTTTATTAACTCCACAGCTTCTCCTAATTTCCACACTCCGAATTTTCTGCATAATATTTACACCACACATTGCCCTTAAACAGGACATCTCCACTGCCTCCAACTGCCTCCTTGCTGCTGCATTTACAACCCAAGCTTCACACCCATATAAGAGTGTTGGTACTACTATACTTTCATACATTCCCTTCTTTGCCTCCATAGATAACATTTTTTGTCTCCTCATATACCTCAACGCACCACTCACCTTTTTTCCCTCATCAATTCTATGATTAACCTCATCCTTTATAAATCCATCCGCCGACACGTCAACTCCCAAATATCTGAAAACATTCAGTTCTTCCATACTCCTCCTCCCCAATTTGATATCCAATTTTTATTTATCTAAATCATTTGATACCCTCATCACCTTTCTCTTTTCTATGTTCACTTTCAACTTTCTACCTTTACACACACTCCCAAACTCATCCACTAACCTTTGCAATTTTTCTTTAGAATCTCTCATAAGCACAGTATCATCAGCAAAAAGTAACTGTCAATTCCCATTTTGTATTTGATTTCCCATAATTTAATCCCACCCTTTTCCTAATACCCTAGCATTTACTTCTTTTACGACCCCATCTATAAATATATTAAACAACCATGGTGACATTACACATCCCTGTCTAAGACCTACTTTTACCGGGAAGTAGTCTCCCTCTCTTCTACACACCCTAACCTGAGCCTCACTATCCTCATAAAAACTCTTTACAGCATTTAGTAACTTACCACCTATTCCATATACTTGCAACATCTGCCACATTGCTCCCCTATCCACTCTATCATATTATTTTTATTTTATTATCACACTGGCCGATTCCCACCAAGGCAGGGTGGCCCGAAAAAGAAAAACTTTCACCATCATTCACTCCATCACTGTCTTGCCAGAAGGGTGCTTTACACTACAGATTTTAAACTGCAACATTAACACCCCTCCTTCAGAGTGCAGGCACTGTACTTCCCATCTCCAGGACTCAAGTCCGGCCTGCCGGTTTCCCTGAATCCCTTCATAAATGTTACTTTGCTCACACTCCAACAGCACGTCAAGTATTAAAAACCATTTGTCTCCATTCACTCCTATCAAACACGCTCACTCATGCCTGCTGGAAGTCCAAGCCCTTCGCACACAAAACCTCCTTTACCCCCTCCCTCCAACCTTTCCTAAGCCGACCCCTACCCCGCCTTCCTTCCACTACAGACTGATACACTCTTGAAGTCATTCTGTTTCGCTCCATTCTCTCTACATGTCCGAACCACCTCAACAACCCTTCCTCAGCCCTGTGGACAACAGTTTTGGTAATCCCGCACCTCCTCCTAACTTCCAAACTACGAATTCTCTGCATTATATTCACACCACACATTGCCCTCAGACATGACATCTCCACTGCCTCCAGCCTTCTCCTCGCTGCAACATTCATCACCCACGCTTCACACCCATATAAGAGCGTTGGTAAAACTATACTCTCATACATTCCCCTCTTTGCCTCCAAGGACAAAGTTCTTTGTCTCCACAGACTCCTAAGTGCACCACTCACTCTTTTTCCCTCATCAATTCTATGATTCACCTCATCTTTCATAGACCCATCCGCTGACACGTCCACTCCCAAATATCTGAATACGTTCACCTCCTCCATACTCTCTCCCTCCAATCTGATATTCAATCTCTCATCACCTAATCTTTTTGTTATCCTCATAACCTTACTCTTTCCTGTATTCACCTTTAATTTTCTTCTTTTGCACTCTATCATATGCCTTTTCTAAATCCATAAATCAATAAAGACTTCCCTACCTTTATCTAAATACTGTTCACATATATGCTTCAATGTAAACACTTGATCTACACATCCCCTACCCACTCTAAAACCTCCTTGCTCGTCCTTGCTCATCCGGCTGGGGCTCAACCACAGCCAACCACCTTAGACCCTTAATAATCAACTAAAAGCTGCTGTGCAGGTGATAACCTGCTCCTTTGCTAGACAACACATCCCACCACTTTTCAAAAGACTCAACTTGCTAAATATACAAGACATACACTCTTATTATTGTGCCTACTACATATACAGAACTTTAAACTCCACTGTAAACCCTCCCCTAAAACTACTCCTTGATAGTTACAACAGAATGCACAGTCACAATACAAGGCATAAGGCCCTTTTCAACATCCCTTGAGTAAAACTCTCACTGTGCAAGAACGCTATGCACATAAAAGGCCCAAAGATCTGGAACTCGCTACCGGAACAAGCCAAGGATCCCCAGACAACTTATAAATTTAGGACTCTGCTAAAAAATAAAATTATCTCACAATATTAACCAAATCAACCAAACATCTACTGGCTAGTTTTATCATGTGACCTCCTGGCTTTTAATTCTGCCATTCCATAAAATATTACCACCTGCACCATTCCTTGTAAATTAGATTTTGTACTAAGTGTACGTAAGATTTATTAAGTCCAAATAAGATTGTAAAACAGCTAACCACTATTCTATGTTTAGTTTTAAGTAATAATTACTATGTACTATTATCTTATCTAGTTTTAATTAGTTACTATGTATTAGGATTAGTTTTCCTGAAATGCCTCAGCGTGATAGTGGCTATCTTTGTACTTAGCAAATCAAAATTGTAATTACACATTGTAACCTTTACAAAGAAATAAACTTATTATTAATGTTATTATTAATTTTTTTTTTTTCAACAAACCGGCCATATCCCACCAAGGCAGGGTGGCCCAAAAAGAAAAACGAAAGTTTCTCTTTTTAAATTTAGTAATTTATACGGGAGAAGGGGTTACTAGCCCCTTGCTCCCGGCATTTTAGTCGCCTCTTACAACACACATGGCTTATGGAGGAAGAATTTTGTTCCACTTCCCCATGGAGATAAGAGGAAATAAACAAGAACAAGAACTAGAAAGAAAATAGCAGAAAACCCAGAGGGGTGTGTATATATATGCTTGTACATGTATGTGTAGTGTGATCTAAGTGTAAGTAGAAGTAGCAAGACGTACCTGAAATCTTGCATGTTCATGAGACAGAAAAAAGGATGCAAGCAATCCTACCATCATGTAAAATAATTACAGGCTTTCATTTTACACTCACTTGGCAGGACGGTAGTACCTCCTTGGGCGGTTGCTGTCTACCAACCTACTACCTAGATTATTATTAATACCCTTATCTAAATACATGCTTCACTCCAAACACTTGGTCTACACACCCTCTTACCCTTCCTAGAGCCTCCTTGTTCATCTGCGATCCTGCTCTCTGTCTTACTCTTAATTCTTTCAGTAATAACTCTACCATACACTTTACTAGGTATACTCAACAGGCTTATTCCCCTATAATTTTTACTGTCTCGTCCCTTTTGCCTTTATACAAAGGAATTATGCATGCTCTCTGCCAATATCTAGGTACATTACCCTCTTCCATACATTTATTCAGTAAAAGCACGAACCACTCCAAAACTTTATCCCCACCTGCTTTTAACATTTCTGTCTTTATCCCATCAATCCCAGCTGCTTTACCCACTTTCATTTTACCCACTGCCTTACACACCTCCCCCACACTCACAGCTTGCTTGCTCTTCCTCACTCCCACAAGATGTTATACCTTCCTGCCTAATGCACAAAATCACAGCTTTCCTTTTCTTCATCAACATTTAACAGTTCCTCAAAATATTCCCTCCATCTTCCCAGTACTTCTAGCGCTCCACCTAATAACTCTCCTCTCCTATTTTTAACTGTCAAATCCATTTGTTCCCTAGGCTTTCTTAATTTATTAATTTCACTCTAACACTTTTTCTTACTATCAGCAAAATTTGGTGATAGTATCTCACCCACTCTCTCATTTGCTCTCCTTTTACATTCCTTCACCACTCTCTTAACCTCTGATTTTTCTCTCCATATACTCCTCCCTCCTTGCATCACTCCTTTGTAAAACCTATCATATGCTAACTTTTTCTTTCTTACTACTATTTTTTTCCTCATCATTCCACCAATTGCTCTTCTTCCCAGCCACACCCACTTTCCTGTAACCACACACTTCTGCTGAACACACTAACACTGCATTATTAAATCTATCCCATACATCTTCAACCTCATTGCCTATACTCTCACTAGCCCATCTTTCTTCCACTAGTTGTTTATATCTTACCCTAACTGCCTCCTCTTCCTCCTCTTGTTTATAAACCTTCACCTCTGTCTTACTTGCTGATATCATTCTCTTTGTTTCCCATCTACCTTTTACTCTCAATGTAGCTTCAACTTAAAAACGATTTGATATATCTGTGGCCCCTCTATAAACATTCACATCCTGAAGTCTGCCCATCAGTCTTTTATCTACCAAAACATAGTTTAACAAACTACTGTCATTGCACCCTATATCATAACTTGTATATGTACTTATTTATCCTTTTTTTTTTCTTAAAATATATATTACTTATTACCAAACCCCTTTCTATACAAAGTTAAATCAAAGGCCTCCATTTTCATTTACTTTTGTCACCCCAAACTTACCTACCAAACCCTCTATAACTGTTTCACCAGCTTTAGCATTCATGTCCCCCACCACAACTACTCTCACTTGGTTCAAAACTTTTTTTTTTTTTTTATTATCACACTGGCCGATTCCCACCAAGGCAGGGTGGCCCGAAAAAAGAAAAACTTTCACCATCATTCACTCCATCACTGTCTTGCCAGAAGGGTGCTTTACACTACAGTTTTTAAACTGCAACATTAACACCCCTCCTTGTATAATGTAATTTGGTATGGTATGGTGTTGATAAACAGTATAGTACAGCAAAATCTTGCTCTTGTGCAAGATATATTAAGGCATATCTGTTAATTTCCATTGAACAATTTTATATATTCTGAATTACAAATATAATAATCAGCATAATAGTGTAAGAAAATTATCTCTCTTTAATAAGGTGGACAAACTCTCCTTCCCGACACTATTTGAGATGCCATACAGCAAGTGGGGCTCCAAAACCTGTACACTGTGTGAAGATGAACGCTACTCTAAGACTGGAGTTTGCATTGGTTGTGATGCAGGCATGTGTCGAGCCTACTTTCATGTTACTTGGTAAGAATTACTTACATTTTGAGAGCAAACATAATTTTGGATTATTAGGTTTCCCAGTCTAGGTGATTTACTTTAAGTATTTCACATTTTTTTTATTTTTGCCACCACTTTAGCTCCCTTGCAGTAACTTGAGAATGTTTCTTTACTTTAATTATAACTTTATACCCCTCTTTATTTTCCTAAAATAAAAGTTTATTTAGTTGATCTGTGTAGTGCCCACTTATTGTATACAGTGGAACCTCGGTTTTCGTTTGCCCTGGCTTTCGTCGAATTCAATTTTTGACAAATTTTTTTTGTCAAAATTTTGTCCCAGTTTTCATTCATCACCTCGGTTTTCGTCTGCCGTACAGAATGTGTCCGCCTGCCCGCACCCACACAAAGCATCCCATGCACGCATTCTGGGTCAGTCTGGCTTTGTTTCTCATCGAGTGAACATTACCCTGTGCATTCATATGATACATTTCGTAATAATCCATTGTTTTTTGTGCTTGTTTATTGAGTGCGACCGCTAAATAAGCTACCATGGGGCCAAAGAAAGTTTCGAGTGCCAACCCTTTGATAAAGAAGGCGAGAAACATGATAGAATTGCTTTAGAGGAGGAGGAGGAAGAGAGAGGGGAGAATGTCTTCTTCAGTGATTCAGTACATGTGTACAAAGTGGAGTGAGTTGCAAAGTTTTGTGGAGAAATATCACCCTAATAAAGCTGTTGCAAGCCGTATCTGCAACATATTAAGTGACAATGCCTTGTCCCATTTTAGGCAAATCTTAAAGAGACGCTAGAAACAGATTTCTCTGGACAGATTTTTTGTGCGACAGGGGTCCAGTGACTCTCAAGCTGGTCCTAGTGCCAGTAAAAGACAAAGAAAGGCAGTAACCCCAGATAGGGACTTGATACCTGAAGTCCTTATGGAAGGGGATTCCCCATCCAAACAGTAACCCTCTCCTCCCTCTCCCCTCCTCGCCGGCTTCCATATGCCAACAAGAGTCTTCAATAAAGGTAAAAGTAATGTTAAATGTTCATTTATCCATTTCATTAGTCCTTTGTATTTATTTCTCATTGTTTTCTGTAATATGTATTTTTTGTTAATACTAATACCATAATGAAAATTAGACACATGCGGCATCTGGGTGTCTTTAATTGATGAAAATTAGACGTGTCTCATTTTCATCTTGTCGGTATTGTATACCATTCATGTACAACTAATACAATAGCAGGTTCCTTGATGCTGGCGAGGGGCTCTTGATCTAGGGAATTGGATCTGTGCTCCAGCAGATGTATTTATGAGGGATGAGGTTAATCATAGAATTGTTGAGGGAAAAAAGGTGAGTGGTGCATTGAGGTATATGTGGAGGCAAAAAATGTTATCTATGGAGGCAAAGAAGGGAATGTTTGAAAGTATAGTAGTACCAACACTCTTATATGGGTGTGAAGCTTGGGTGGTAAATGCTGCAGCGAGGAGGTGGTTGGACGCAGTGGAGATGTCCTGTCTAAGGGCAGTGTGTGGTGTAAATATTATGCAGAAAATTCAGAGTGTGGAAATTAGGAGAAGGTGTGGAGTTAATAAAAGTATTAGTCAGAGGGCAGAAGAGGGGTTGTTGAGGTGGTTTGATCATTTAGAGAGAATGGATCAAAGTAGAATGACATGGAGAGCGTATGAATCTCTAGGAGAAGGAAGGTGGGGTAGGGGTCGTCCTCGAAAAGGTTGGAGGGAGGGGGTAAAGGAGGTGTTGTGGGCGAGAGATTTGGACTTCCAGCAAGTGTGTGTGAGCGTGTTAGATAGGAGTGAATGGAGACAAATGGTATTTGGGACGTGATGAGCTGTTGGAGTGTGAGCAGGGTAATATTTAGTGAAGGGATTCAGGGAAACCAGTTATTTTATATAACCGGACTTGAGTCCTGGAAATGGGAAGTACAGTGCCTGCACTCTAAAGGAGGGGTTTGGGATATTGGCAGTTTGGAGGGATATATTGTGTATTTTTATACGTATATACTTCTTAACTGTTGTATTCTGGGCACCTCTGCAAAAACTGATTATGTGTGAGTGAGGTGAAAGTGTTGAATGATGATGAAATTATTTTCTTTTTGGGGATTTTCTTTCTTTTTGGGTCACCCTGCCTCGGTGGGAGACGGCCGACTTGTTGAAAAAAAAAATTATAATAATTATAGGTAGTAGGTTGGGAGACAGCAACCACCCAGGGAAGTGCAGTGGACCCCCTCATAACGATATTAATCCGTTCCTGAGAGCTCATTGTTATGCGAAATTATCGTTATGCGAATTAATTTTCCCCATAAGAAATAATGGAAATCAAATTAATCCGTGCAAGACACCCAAATGTATGAAAAAAAAAAATTTACCACATGAAATATTAATTTTCCTACACACAAAGAGAAGGATACATGCACAATAGTAGAGTAGTACATGCACAATATATATTGTGCATGTACTGTTGGCAGTTTGGAGGGATATGTTGTGTATCTCTATACGTATATGCTTATAAACTGTTGTATTCTGAGCACCTCTGCAAAAGCAGTGATAATGTGTGAGTGTTTACCTGGAGTTTACCTGGAGAGAGTTCCGGGGGTCAACGCCCCCGCGGCCCGGTCTGTGACCAGGCCTCCTGGTGGATCAGAGCCTGATCAACCAGGCTGTTGCTGCTGGCTGCACGCAAACCAACGTACGAGCCACAGCCCGGCTGAGTGTGGTGAAAGTGTTGAATGATGATGAAAGTATTTTCTTTTTGGGGATTTTCTTTCTTTTTTTTGGGTCACCCTGCCTCGGTGGGAGACGACCGACTTGTTGAAAAAAAAAAAAATGTACTATTCTACTAAATGAAGAATAAATGACACTTACCTTTATTGAAGATGCAGCAATGACTGATGAGACACTGTGTCCTGGGAATGCCTTTTCCTCCTGAGTACTGTAGGTGCTGTTTGGCATTTTCTTCCAGAACAGGCCTTAACACACTGTGTATGCCACTACGATTCTTAAATCTCTCAAACCAACCTTTGCTGGCTTTAAATTCACCAATATGAGCACTAGTTCCAGGCATTTTTCCCTGTTCACCTTGGTGTTAGTCGACTGGTGTGGGTTGCATCCTGTGAGACAAGATTAAGGACCCCAATGGAAATAAGTTAGACAGTCTTCGATGACACTGATTTTTTTGGGTTATCCTGGGTGGCTAACCCTCTGGAGTTAATTGTTTCTTGGTATTCTCAATAAGCCACACCAACAACGGTGCTACAGCAGCAGCAGCAGCTGACAGTGCTACAAGCAGCAGCAGCAGCAGCTGACAGTGCTACATCAGCAGCAGCAGCAGCAGCTGACAGTGCTACAGCAGCAGCTGACAGTGCTACAGCAGCAGCAGACGGTACTACAGCAGCAGCAGCAGCTGATGGTGGTACAGCAGCAGCAGCTGATGGTGCTACAGCAGCAGCAGCAGCAGCTGACAGTGCAGCAGCAGCAGCAGCAGATGACAGTGCTACAGCAGCAGCTGACGGTACTACAGCAGCAGCAGCAGCTGACGGTGGTACAGCAGCAGCAGCAGCTGACGGTGCTACAGCAGCAGCTGACAGTGCTACAGCAGCAGCTGACAGTGCAGCAGCAGCTGACAGTGCTACAGCAGCAGCAGACGGTGCTACAGCAGCAGCAGGCGGTACTACAGCAGCAGCAGCAGTAGCTGACGGTGCTACAGCAGCAGCAGCAGCTGACAGTGCTACAGCAGCAGCAGCATCAGCAGTTGACCATGGTACCACAGTATTTCGATAATATTTCTCACCCTTTTTATCACAGGGTTGGCACTAGAAGCTTTCTTGGGGCCCATGGTCACTTATTTTGCAGATAAAATCACCAAAAACGCTGTAATAATACAAAATGTTCCGATTGTATGCTTGGATGTTACCGCGGAGGCTGGCTTGTAAACAATGCCACCGGCGGAACATGTGAGGCTGGCTCAGGCCGCACATTAGACGCGTCTCGGACGAATAGCGTTGAGCGGGTTTTTTAGCGGTATGTGAGGCAAAATCTTAGCGATAAAATTTATCGGTATGCGGATTTAACGTTGTGTGATGCCAACGGTATGCGGGGGTCCACTGTACTACTGTCCTGCCAAGTGAGTGTAAAACAAAAGCCTGTAATTGTTTTACATGATGGTAGGATTGCTGGTGTCCTTTTTTCTGTCTCATAAACATGCAAGATTTCAGGTACGTCTTGCTACTACTACTTACACTTAGGTCACACTACACATACATATACAAGCATATATATACACACTCCTCTGGGTTCTCTTCTATTTTCTTTCTAGTTCTTGTTCTTGTTTATTTCCTCTGACCTCCATGGGAAGTGGAACAGAATTCTTCCTCCGTAAGCCATGCATGTTGTAAGAGGCGACTGAAATGCCGGGAGCAAGAGGCTAGTAACCCCTTCTCCTGTATAAATTACTAACTTTAGAAAGAGTAACTTTTGTTTTTCTTTTTGGGCCACCCTGCCTTGGTGGGATACGGCCAGTTTGTTGAAAAAAAAAAAATAACGAGCGAGGTTCAGAACACCGCCACTAGTTGGCGCAGCGAATGCCACAACATCAGCTGAGCTGTGCACGTGTTCAGACAAAACAAATTGTAGCAGTTAAGCAATTAAGCGATAGAAAAAGGACGAAACGAAACGAACTTCTCCAATGTTATTGTTGGTGTTTATAGGACCACTGACAGCATACGTCGCCCTGCCTATCCCCACCCTCAACCTCCGCCACATCTTTGCTCCAAGGTAAGTGTGTACGTACACTTTATATAGCCAGTGTATATCTTTACATTCTCTGTTATGTTTTATTATGTTTTTATTCAATATTTCTTATTTATAAATACATTGTTTCAGTGTTTTCCTTACGAAACTAGTTATCTAGTGCAGTTAGCCTCACACACCTCTGTTTTCTCTTATTATAAGACCTCTGAAGAGGAAGCAGGGGAAAGCATCGTCAGAGGGGAGTGGGAATGGCCGCCAACACTCATCACACAGTGACATATTTTATTCATTCTAGAGTATATATCATGTTTCTATATTATTTATATTGTTTATTATGTCATATTAGATGAATTGTGATAGATAAATAAACCATAGAGTTGATATTAGCATCACATTGAAGTATTTTGTCCTGCCTCCTGAGAGCAGGAATTCCGCTGGAACAGATTAATTGCATTTCAGTTAATTTAAATGAGGAAAATTGATATATGTACTAGCAAATTGAGTTATGAGCTAGGTCACAGAACGGATTAAACTCTTAAGTCAAGGTTCCACTGTATTTAGTTTGGACAACTGAACTAGGGAAAACCAGTAAGCAGGATTAGAGTCCTGAGGTAAAGAGCACAGTGCTAGCGTCACTCTGGAGGAAGGTCAGGGATGTTACAGTTTGGAGGGACATTTGAACCCTGAGGTCTACATGTTTATGGCATGAGAGTTATTGAATGAATAATAGTAAATGTGCTTTTTTTTCCCTGAATCTCCCTTGGTTAGAGACGGCTGTTGACATCAAAAAGATCATATTGATCAATACACACTAAAGTAAGAATGAGAGTCAGTGACACCTGTTTTGGTTGCTTATTCTTCAGGGTTTTTCTGCATACTTTTTCAAGAGGGGTCATTGTGTGTCATACTTGGTATGTAGACTGGCCAGTAGAATGTTAGTATCAGTTCTGCTATATACCATTTCAGAGAATATTATTATCTGTTTAGCCTGACATGTAGACTGGCCAGTGGAATCTTAATACAGTATTAGTCCTGAAACAAGAATGTACAAACTGCAGACCACACTGGGGTTTTATTGACTAATTAACCAAAGAAGAAAGTGATCATAGTCTGTTGTTTAGCTTGACATATAGAATGGCCAGTGGAATGTTATAATTTGTTCTGGAATGAAAATGTATAGATTAAAGACCACACTGTCTGGCTTTTTATTGACCAATTAACTGAAAAAGACAACTACTGATTGATGGAGTGAAGTTTTTTTTTTTTCTAATAAAGATATTTTTTGCACTAATATTATATTTAAATTTTTAATTATTGACAGTGCTCAGCGTGAGGGGCTATTATCTGAGGTGAACCATGGTGAAGCTGACCAAGCAGACCCGTATTATGCTCACTGCAAATTACACACAGATAGAGAGCTCATAAGGTATGTTCAGGAATAGTTACTCTTGCTTCCAGAGTCATTTATATGCTTTTCTTTTGTATATTAAGTCTCTCACCATTGTGGACCCCCCTCCTCCCCCCCCAGAATTAAAATTTCCATCAGTGATGCAATTTAAACAAATATTTTATCTTCTGAAATGGTAGAGAATCGTTTTCTAAAGGCATTGACACCAAAAATGTGAAATGTGATGAAAAACTTACACATTATACAGTACTACACAACTGCAATTTTGCCCATTTTGAGGTCTGTTTTAAATCACAGCTCAAACTGGCCCAATTTCTGGATGTTTTACTATTATGCCTTCTGTTCTATTCATTGAACACAAGAAACTACCCATGCTGCTATTAGAGCTACCCTACCAATTTTACACAAAATTTAACAAATTCCAATTTAAAAACATTGTTTTAGAATCATCACTATAGACATTCCAGCCACTAAAGCAAGCTTTCCTCTGTTCATTAATCACATCACCAGGCTTCTCCTATATTACACTTGCCCGCCATTTTAAATCCATCACAAAAAAAAAAAAAATCAAAGTTTTACCCCATTTCTCAGATTAATGAAATATAACCAAGAATGATTGATCATGCTTTAGGCTGCTCAGATAACTGAATCAGACTTAGTATAAACTCATAAAACAGACTGGGGGGATGGGTAGAGTGGCCCCTAACCGACTTGAGAAAATTGTCAAAAATTTAAAATGTCTGCTAATTTGAGGCCTATTTCAGGCCATTTCTTGTCTGAAACTGACAAAAATCATCTCCATTTCTAGTAACCAGGTCAAAATTTACAGATGTCAGCAACACTGGCCTCAGTGATCTAGTTCCACATGAGAAACAATGGATGGCTTATTATGACCCAGCAACATTGCTGGAAAAGAGACTCCTTTAAATATTTATTATATAGTACTGTACTAGTCAGATTGTGTAATTTCTAAGGGGATTTAAAATACAGTGGAACCTCAAAAATCAAGCTTAATCCGTTCCAGGAGCTAGTTCTAAATTCGAAAAGTCTGAAATTCGAAGCAATATTTCCGATAAGAAATAATGGAAATACAATTAATCCGTTCCAGAAACCCAAAAATATTCACACAAAAAATACATTTTATAGAGATTAATTACAGTTTTACATACAACAAATACTATAGTTTTTAATTATGTATAGTAATACATATAAAATAACATTTTTACTTACCTTTATTGAAGATTGGTGATGGCATCTGGAAGATAGGGAGGAGGAGGGAGGGAGTTGGGGTTAGTGTTTGGAAGGAGAATCCCCCTCCATGAGGACTTCAGGTAAAGCCCTTTCTGGGGTTACTTCCCTTCTCTGTCTTTTAATGCCACTAGGGCCAGCTTGAGAGTCACTGGACCCCTGTCTCACAAAATAACTGTCCACAGTCCTCTGTTTCTGGTGCCTCTTTAACATTTCCCTAAAATGGGACATGGTTCTGTCACTGAACTTGTTGCAAAGATGGCTTGTTTCAGCTTGCTCAGGGTGGTACTTCTGCACAAACATTTGGATATCATTCCACTTGGCACAAATCTCCTTAATCTTTGAAGAAGGCACCTCATCCACTCCCTATATTAACACCTTTCGCAACATCAGCTTCCTTGATTTGTTCTTTCTTTGACAGGATTAGAACCGATGGTCGACTTGTTTTTCCCATACATCCTGGCAAGCTCAACAAGTCTCACACCACTCTCATATTTCTGTATTATTTTCTTCTTCACATCTATGGTGTTTCTCACTTTCTTTACCACAGGGATACCACTAGCAAGTTTCTTTGGGCCCATGGCAGCTTATTTCACAGTCCCACAAGCACTAAACACAATGAAATAATCGTAAAATGCGTGAATGAGAGCGCAGGTTAGTGTTCACTCAAGCATAAACAAAGCTAGACTGCTCACGGCGCCTGCACGGGGACGCGGACAGAGCTGGCGGCAGATAGGTCCCATACCCGGCGGTTCGAAAATAGGGGCGCGTTTGATAATAGGGACACAGTTTGTCCGAAAAAATGGTCCTATTTTCGAAACGTTCGATATGTGATACGTTTGATTTTTGAGGTTCCACTGTACTGAGAGCCTTTCATGATTAATTCTCATTTTGTCGAGCTTGTTTCCAAGCTAATGTGTGTATAGTGTAGTATTTACAGTACAGTATATATGCTTAGTTTAGCTATACACATATTTATTATAAATGTAAATTAATTTCTTAAAGTAATCATGTATTTTTATGTTTCCTATAGCAAAATATATACACCATTATAGTGGGATTTCCGTGGTTTTCTGGAACATTCCAGAAATAAATGATTCATAAGCTTCAATTTGTGGTCCTCTGATGGAACACAGCGTTAAAGTCACCCGTATAATTACCGAAGCATTAGAACCTCTCCAGCAAATATTTGATGAACTGAAAAGAAAGAAACAACAACTTCCTCTCACGATATTTTTCCAAAAGGTTGAAAAACAAACCATGTCCACTCTCGACGATCCCCAACCATCAACATCGTAATGTCTTATTTTGAGTAATTTATCAATTAATCTTTATCATAGGTATGTATGTAAATGAAAAACAACTTACATATGGGATTCGCTACTATCCACTGTTTTGGGCATCCACAACAGGTCTTGGAATGTATTACCCATGGATACTGGGGGACTACTGAATAATGTTCAGTGACTCATGGGTCTGACAGTAAGAAACTAAGAAATGCCTAATGGGTTAATTTAGTAATGAAGACGACGCTAGATTAGAGGTTCCACTACATGATAGTCTGTAATGGCTTTAGCCTGTCTAGCTCCTTGTTTTAAAAAACTCACTTAATATTATATTTGTGAGTAGGACGTTACAGTACTTAGCATTTCATAAATTGAAGAAACACTTAAATGCAAAACATTTTGTAGAACCTTAAGTTAGGTCAAGTGGTCTAGCTCCTAGAGAAGGGCAAGCTAGACTAGAATCATTCAGGTCAAGTTGCTCAAATTTGCTGCTAAGGGGCTAAAAAGTACACAAGAGCTCCTTGATACCACACCATCCATGAACTCCATCCTAGAACTCCATGGTGATTTAGAGGTTGTTGAGGTGGTTTGGACATTTACAGAGGATACAACAGAAAAGGTTGACCAAGAGGTTCTGTTAATCTGGGATTGAAGGAAGGCATGAGTAGGGATTATCTCAGTAAGGATTGGAGGTAGGGGGTAGAGAAAGTTTTGAGTGCTAGTGGCTTGAGCATCTGGCAGGCTTCTGCGAGAGATTTTGATTGGTTTTATAGCTTGAGATGCTGTTGGAGTGGGAACAAGACAGAGATTGAATGAATGAATGATACTGAATGTGTTGTCTTTTTTCAATCACCATTCTTTGAAAGGAGACAGCTATTAAAGTAAGAAAAAATATCTATGTATTTTTTTATTTTCATTTAGTCAGCATGCGTCTTCTGCCAAGGCAGGGTGACCCCAAAGAAGAAACACATTCACCATCACTTACTCAATCCCTGTTTTTCCAGAAGTGGGCTGACATCACCATCAGATTACCCTTTGACTGCAACATCCCTGCCCCTCTTTCAGAGTGCAGGCATTCTGGTTATCCTACTCGCACTCCAACAGAACGTCCACATGTATAAAGTGGCACCTCTATATATGAACTTAAGTAAATTGGGGTAATTTGTTCTTGACCCCAAAAAATTACCCATTATAAAACATTTTAAATGAAAATATTGCTTATTTAAACCTATATAATAATATATGCATGCATAAAATCATACATGAGAACTATAAAAACAATAAATACATGAAATAAATGAAAATTTAACTGTACTTTACCTTTACTGAGGAGCTGATGGCCTAAGAGGAAGGTGGAGAGATGTTATTGTTTGGAAAGGGTGTCACCTTCCATGAAAACATCAGATAACTTCCTTTCTGGTGTTTTTTCTCTTTTTTGTCTCTGTGCAATAGCACTTGAACATGATGGGGATTCACTAGCATTTGATTTTTTCTTTGCTAAAGAAACTGTCCAATGTTGTCTCCTTTTGACAACTTTTCAAAAAATTTCTAAAGTGGCCAGCAACACTGTCATTGAACAAGTTGATGTTCCTATTCACAACAGTAATTTTAAGAAGCCATTTTTTCTCCAGGCTCTGTATTTGAGCCCAGTGGTAATCTTGCCCTTACTGCTTCCCACCTCTGAAGAAGAAATTTCCTTAACCACTTCTTGCTGCTCCTTGTGCAGGTCTTGAAGTTCTTCTGTGGTGAGCTCATTCTTGTGATCCTCCACCAACTCCTCTACATCTCATCGTCCATTTTCAAACCCATGGACTGGCCCAGAGAAACAATATCCTTCACTACAGGCTCTGCCTCAAAGCCTTCAAAATCTCTGACTGACATACCATATTAAGTTGCCAGGTCCTACACACATGTTCCAATTTCCCACTTCACAATGAGTTCTTTTTTCACTTTAATTGTTGTTTTCACTGCTTTTCTTTTAGGCTTGTTTGGATCACTACTATTTTTGGGGGCCATGATTACTTATTTTCAATGGAAATATTTGAAAATTACCACAGAATAATAATGAAATGCCAAAAAGTTTCATGGAGCTTGTATGAATGATGCTTAAAGAACAACAGCTGACAAGAGACTGAGCACTTGATGCTTTGTTTTCGTTGGACTTCATCCAAATGGACCATTTTGTTTAGGTTGAATATCAGGGCAACGTCTGAATACTAAGTCAAATTTTTTCGAAAAGTTGGGTGAATACCGAGTTGTACGAATATAAGGACATACGAATATTGAGGTTCCACTGTATTTTTTTGTTTTCTTAATAGCCATCTCCCACCAAGGCAGGGTGACCCAAAGAAGAAAACACATTCACCATTCAAAAATTCTGTGTCACAAACCTTCTGGAGTTCTATGACAAGGTAACAGAAATAAAACACGAGAGAGAAGGGTGGGTTGATTGCATTTTCCTGGACTGCAGGAAGGCCTTCAACACAGTTCCTCACAGGAGATTAGTGCAGAAGCTGGAGGACCAAGCGCATATAATAGGAAGGGCACTGCAGTGGATCAGAGAATACCTGACAGGGAGGCAACAACGAGTCGTGGTATGTGATGAGGCATCACAGTGGGCGCCTGTGATGAGCGGGGTCCCTCAGGGGTCAATCCTAGGACCAGTGCTATTTTTGATATATGTGAATGACATGATGGAAGGGATAGACTCTGAAGTGTCCCTGTTCATAGATGATGTGAAGTTAATGAGAATTATTAAATCAGATGAGGATCAGGCAGGACTACAAAGAGACCTGGACAGGCTGGACACATGGTCCAGCAACTGGTTTCTTGAATTCAACCCTGCCAAATGCAGTCATGAAAATTGGGGAAGGGTAAAGAAGACTGCAGACAGAGTATAGGGAGTATAGGCTAGGTGGACAAAGACTGCAAATCTCACTCAAGGAGAAAGATCTTGGGGTGAGTATAACACCGAGCACGTCTCCGGAGGCACACATCAACCAGATAACTGCTGCAGCATATGGGCACCTGGCAAACCTTAAAATGGCATTCCAATACCTTAGTAAGGAATCGTTCGAGACACTGTACACTGTGTACATCAGGCCCATACTGGAGTATGCAGCACCAGTTTGGAACCCACACCTGGTCAAGCACATTAAGAAATTAGAGAAAGTACAAGGGTTTGCAACAAGGCTAGTTCCGGAGCTCAGGGAAATGTCCTACGAAGAAAGGTTGAGGGAAATCAGACTGACGACACTGGTGGACAGGAAGGTCAGGGGAGACATGATAATGACATATAAAATACTGCATGGAATACATAAGGTGGACAGAGGCAAGATGTTCCAGAGAGGGGACACAGAAACAAGGGGTCACAATTGGAAGCTGATGACTCAGACGAGTCACAAGGATGTTAGGAAGTATTTCTTCAGTCATAGAGTCGTCAAGAAGTGGAATAGCCTAGCAAGTGATGTAGTGGAGGCAGGAACCATGCATAGCTTTAAGACGAGATATGGCAAAGCTCAGGAAGCAGAGAGAGAGGGGGAGGAGAGAGAGAGGGGGGGAGAGGGAGAAAAGAGAGAGAGGGAGAGAGAGGGAGAGAGAGAGAGGAGAGAGAGAGAGGAAGAGGGAGAGAGAGAGGGAGAAAGAGAAGGGGGAGAGAGAGAGAGGAGAGAGAGAGGGAGAGAGAGAGAGAGAGGGAGAGGGAGAGAGAGGGTGAGGGAGTGAGAGAGAGAGAGAGAGGGAGAGAGAGAGAGAGGGGGAGAGGGAGAGAGAGAGGGAGATCATACATACCCAGGATGACTCGAGTATGGAACACATTCGTACAGCATAATGATGTCAACGAGATAAAGTCAGTTGATCAAATGAAAATGCTGGCCCACAGAGGGCTCCAACTTCATCCTGTCCCGTACTTGTATGTCTCATAACAATAAAAATGCTTTCAAATGAGCTGATGTAGGTAACAGCTCTTAGCTTGCCAATAAAGTTAGGAATCCTTAACCTGTAATATAGCTGTCAATAAAGCTAAGGGATCCTAACCTTGCAAACCCTGTGTAAAAAAAAAAAAAAAAAAAAAAAAAAAAGAGGGGAGAGGGAGAGAGGAAGGGAGAGGAGAGAGGGGAGAGAGAGAGAGGGAAGAGGAGAGAGGGAGTGGAGATGTGAGAGAGAGTAGAGGGGAGAGAGATAGGGGGAGAGGGAGAGAGAGGAGGAGAGACAGAGAGAGAGGTGGAGTGAGAGAGAGAGAGGGCAGAGAGAGAGGAGGGAGAGAGAGAGAGAGAGGGAGAAGAAGAGATGAGAGAGATAGAGAGAGAAGAGAGGGATGTGGGTGGCCTTACTGTTATGTACAAGGCCAATATTGTCAAAGTACCACACTTGGATCCACTTCGAGGACAGCGTGAAACAAGCTTTTATGCCACAAGACGGGCAGAAAGCAGCAACCTCACTCTGGCTGTACCCTTCTCCAGAACATCACTCCATCTGAGATCATTTTACCCAGGATGACTCGTGTATGGAACACATTCGTACAGCATATATGTCAACAGATAAAGTCAGTTGATCAAATGAAAATGCTGGCCCACAGATGGCTCCAACTTCATCCTGTTCCCTACTTGTTTCTCTAACAATAAAAATGCTTTCAAATGAGCTGATGTAGGTAACAGTTCTTAGCTTGCCAATAAAGTTAAGAATCCTTAACCTGTAAATAGCTTGTCAATAAAGCTAGGGATCCTTAACCTTGTCAAATCCTGTGTAAAAAAAAAAAAGAGAGGGAGAGAGAGAGAGGGAGAGAGAAGGGAGGGAGAGAGGAGAGGGAGGGAGAGAGAGAGGGAGGGAGAGAGAGAGGGAGGGAGGGAGAGAGAGAGGGAGGGAGAGAGAGAGAGAGGGAGGGAGGGAGGAGAAGGAGGGAGGGAGGGAGAGTGAGGGAGGGAGGGGCCTAGTAGCGATCAGTGAAGAGGCGGGGCCAGGAGCTGAGTCTCGACTCCTGCAACCACAATTAGGTGAGTACTGTATTGTCAGAAGTGTGCTGACATCACAGTTCAGATAACTCTCCAGAGTGACACATCCCCACATATATTTCTTAGCTACTATTAGCATTATTGTGTTTATCTTTATTTAAGAATATCATTTTTTGGTCTGAATGGATTGTTTACTCCTCTCATGTCTAAATGTATAAGTTTTTTAAGATTTTTTTTTTACGAAAACCAATACACATGTTGTAATACATCATTAATATGGGATCTAATAGCATTTTTCAGGTAAGAAATTTTCAACAAAATTAGTTGCTTACTTTGTTAAATTCAAGTAGTACATTATTTCTATCCATACCCCTTAACTTATTGATAACATATTGTGTACTTCAAATATTTTATAGTTACTATTGTTCACAAGAAAAAAATTCTTAGAACTTGAATTTCTTTATGATGGGTACAACCCTGCACTTTAAAGGAGGGGTTTGGGATATTGGCAGTTTGGAGGGATATGTTGTGTATCTTTATATGTGTATGCTTCTAAACTGTTATATTCTGAGCACCTCTGCAAAAGCAGTGATAATGTGTGAGTGTGGTGAAAGTGTTGAATGATGATGAAAGTATTTTCTTTTTGGGATTTTCTTTCTTTTTTGGGTCACCCTGCCTCGGTGGGAGACGGCCGACTTGTTGAAAAAAAAAAAAAAAAAGGTACGACCCTTACCTTGTAAAAGTTGGAAATTGGATAAACGGTGAATAAATTAAATTTAGAGTCTGTTATTTTTACAAATATATTATTTTAAGGTTTTATATACTAGATTCTTTTTCAAAGGCGAAGGAAAAGGAACTGTTTGGCTCTGCAGCTTCACATGAAACAAGGTGAGGCAGACAGGTCAGGTTCCAGTCAAGAAAATCAAGACCGTATTCAGCGAAAACTAAGCCGCTACCGGGACAAATACCTTTTCAATAAAAACAACAGACCTACCCCATGGTGTAAGTAAATTAAATATATAATAAACTTAAATGGAAACTTGTAGTGCATTTAGTGATGAGAAAAACAACTGTAAGGAAGGAAATTGTATGATTATGAGTAATTTAGAGCAAACCCTTGGTTTAATGGTAATGGCAATTGTGGTGGATAAAGATGACATGTTTTGTTGTAATCATAAAAAATGGACACTTCTGTAACCAACATATTTTGTCATTTTTTCTGAATCGGTTAAATCAGTGGATCTTGTCTCATACTTCCAGAGGCCATTAAATCAGGTTTTTTTTTAACCTACAAAACAACAGCTCTGTAGGTATGAATGGGATGTGATTGAGATTCAGAGTGTAGGTAAAGCAGTAACAAAATGGATGTAAGTAAATCTGTTTATACATGTCTAACACCTAGTTTACTCTTGAGAGTTCCTATTTTTGGAGGTATTCTCATCTAACATCATTAGAAATGTTAAATGTTGAAATATTAATAGTTCTGAAAGAAATACGTTTAATGAGGTTAGTCTCCATCTGCTTGCACTGCAGGAAAAATGTGTTACGTGAGAGTGGTACTGTAACCAAATATGCATGTGTGCTTGTAGTGTGGTGACTGAAATGTTCTGTTTTTTTAATTACATCAACCATCTCCACCAAGGGTGGCCGAAGAAAGGGAACACATTCACTGTCACTCATTCAGTAGCTGTCTTGCCAGAAGTGAACAGATATCACAATGCAGATTACCCCCACACAGTAACATTCCCACCCCTCTTTCAGAGTGTAGGCTCTATACTTTCCACATCTATCCCCACCATCACTTGTGGCCAGTATTGCATACTGTAGCTGTTACTACCAACCACCAGAACTTTAAGCACTCCAATCTAAGGAATCATTGCTGCAACAAGTTTCTGCACCATCCTGTGCATGTAACGCCACTTAAATGTTCTAATCATTCCTCGATCCAGTGGTTGTAAAAAAATGTGTTTAGTGGTAAAAACAAAATTTTAAGCTGTGGATTTAGAGACTGCAAAACATGATGATGGCTTTGGGAATTATCAGGAGTGATGAGAACCTTGTATGAGAGGTTGTTTTGGGTCAGGTACAGCTTGACTGAAGGAGCCAGTCGACAAGCAGTTTCACTCATCCAGATGATCCTGTTAAATTGCCAAAGCAAAGTGGTTTTATTGTTACTTTACAAAGCATGGGAAGTCCCAGAGCATTAAATAAGCATTGACTTGCCTTTATAATCACAGAAGCAAACTGAAATGAACCTTTGTTGCCTTGAAGCCAGGTGCACTTTTCATTTTTATGCTTATGCAAGGTCTTGGGTGCATTTTCCAAAATAAGCCTGTCTCATCAGCATTAAATACTTGCTCAGAATTGTCGTCACCCTTGGAAATAAGTTTTTCCGGCTCTGCTGGGAAACTTTCTGCAGGAGTATGGTTAGAAGAAACACTTTCTCTGCTCAATTTTTGCATTCTACTGATTGCTCATTTTAAAACCACTAAACCATTCTGCAGTAAACACTTTTTCAAGCTTTCATTCCTGCTCTGACCCTGTTTTATAGTAAATTTGGCTTTTGCGTAAAGAGGGTACTAAATGGGGCACTTTTTTTTCTCGATCTTCGCATTCAGTAATTTTTTGGTTTTGTTTAGCTCTATTAACCACCTTGACATTCTTTTTTCAGCATATTAGTATCAGTTACTCATAGCATATACTTCCATGTTCTCTTCATTCTCTCCAATTTTATGAATTGTTGATTCTCTAACACTAAAGGCACGAGCCACCTTCACCTAATGGACTTATTTTTAGGCTTTAGGCTTATTTAACACCTCGGTTTTTTCAAAATAGGTATATATACCTTAACATTTAATCTTCTTGGTACTTTAGTGTCACTGGTAGTACTTTTTTGTTCTTTGATAACATCCAGAGATGAGAAGGGGTGATGAAAATGTTCAAAATATGGAGCCATACACACCCGAGAGAGAGAGAGAGAAGGGTATGGAACATGTCCATAAACTGTCCATGTGGGTGGGTGTAAACAGGGGGAGGCCAATCTAGGCTTTTCTAAAATAATCGAGATGCCCAAAGGCATTGGAACCAGCCCAATTTCAAATTTTTCTCCAAGTTTACAAGGTGTGCGTTCAGTCAAAAACCACATATTAATGTTTATTGAAAGAAATATGAATGCAATTTACATTCATAATTTGCACAGGTTATATTTCTGAAAACTGTGCTAACAATGATTTCAGTGACTTCTGGAGTGAAACATGTGTGGTAAAAAGGGGTGTGTTCCTCAGTCCTCCAAAAACACAAATTTTTTTACCCATATGATAAGTCCTCTAAAAATAATGCTTTTTCCACCTAATTTTGCTGATGAGGATGCTTTGTAAAATACTTGAACTCTAGTGAGGTTCAATCAGTTTAAAGGAACTAGTGAGGTTATACAGTTGAACCCTTTAGGGTCCAGACCCCTGATCTGTAAATTGCTCTTAAAGGTTCAAGAATTTAAAAAAAGAATTATTTTTTCTTATGAAATAACAGAAAATCTTTTGCCAGAGGTAATGAAAGCAAAAGTACGAAATTTGATGGAAAACTTATGGAATTACTCTCTCACAAAGTTAGTGGTCTTGACAATATTTATGCATTGGCAGTTTTGCCCACTTTGAGTCCTATTTTAGGCCAATTCCATTGTTACAGTCAACCAAACTCCAAGGTTGTTAGTAAAATTTTGGATATTAGTATGAGGGATTCTGTAGATTGCACTAACTATAATGGGAGTCTTAAGGTTATTAACAGAGAAGTTGGTAAATATATATTCACCAAATTCATTTCTAAAGCATGTGGTGTTACAACATAATAGTTCATTAGAATAGTAGATGGCAATCCCTTTTCCCATTTGGTCTGGTCTGTAGTTGTGGATTACTGTGTATCCTGCAATCGAGTCATTACAATTACGTGAGTCGAGTCATAGTGTGTAGATGTCTGTTGTGTCTTGCTTAAGCCAGGTTTCAGTAAATATAATACAAGAGAAGGTTGTATTTAAGGAATCTAGGAGTGCCAGGAGGTCATCGTAGTGCTTACTCAGGGATCTGATGTAGTTAAAATTTTTTATATCCCTTGCATTATTGAGGACAGTTCTGGCTTTGGTTTCTGTGTAATAAAGACAGTTGCTTTTGGTACAGTATAGGTTAGGATTTAGATTTTATAGATTTACATCAGGGTTGGTATCTGCATTCAGCATTCACGGCAACAGTGGCAAGATAGGATGATAGACAGTGAACTGGTAAATGGTATAGGCATAGTTTCATGCTTAATTTTCTTCTTTGCTTAACTAGCATCACCTAATGGTATAGGCATAGTTTCATATTTAATTTTCTTCCTTGCTTAACTAGCATCACCTGTACTTTGCTGGGATGCATGATAAATTTCTTGAGATGAGATGGGATGATGAAAAGAAGGAAAAACTGGGTGATGTATGCTTAGGGAAAATATTACATTATGCATCCAGATACACTGACCTGCATGAGAGGTTGTTTGTTGACATCCCATCACCCTCCTTCACAACCTCCCATTCACAACTAAAACAGTGGAGATACCCAGTGTTTGGTGGGGGTCTTATGCTTGCCTTCCACAGTGGTTAACAGAAATGCACATCAAGGGAAATGACACTTTTGTTGGAAATGAAAAACTAAATTTAAATTTCAGAATACTGAAAATGGAAGTTATGATTGCATGACTTACGGGTGTGAAACAATTTACTTAATTCATCATGATAGGTAGGTCTTGATAGAACACAGTCTGGATGGTAACCGGAAACTAGTCAGGTGTGCCTGCCTTTTATGGTATCTGTACACAGCAGTGATATTCTAATCACCATGTGGCAGTGTGGATGAGGCTGTCACAGCCACTAACAAGCTGATAGTCTGTACAGTATTGGAGCTAGGAGAGGGAGGTTTATGCTAGAAATACAACTGGTATAATTCCAAAATGAGCTTCCCCCCAATCTTTCCTCTTCTCATATCATCCAAGGAGGAACTAGATTGAAGGTATAAAACAACTGTAGTATCAACAAAGTGAACACCTTCACCAAACTGTTGCACTCAAAATAAGTTATGATGGTTTCTACATATCTGAGGTTTTCATTATACAATAGATGAAGCTGCATGGTTTTCTTTGTGTATTGTATGATTATCATTCTGATCTATATTTGTGAATATTGAAAGAATCAAGGCTTTATTTGAAGCTTTCATAATTTAAATTATGGATCAACTAGATCAGACCAACAGACATATGAGCTTTCTCTTCACTCCTAGCCACAACAAGCCTGCTGTAAACTCTAGTTCATTCACCTATAAACAGGTACTATACAGTATTAGAAGAGATTAATGAAACAGTGAAGATGATTTACTCTGGCTGAAGTTATGTGATGGTATGTTACTGAAATATATCACTTTAAGCCTGCTAGTATGGATACTCTACATGTTTACCATTAAATTTTTCTTCGTATTCAGATCCAACTCAGAAGATGCCAAGAGCACTATCTACATCAGCCTCTCTCTTCCGATCTTTGTTACACAAGACTGAATTGATGGGCCTTAGTACAGAAACCCAGCCTATGCATTCTGCAAATGTTGGTGATATTAGAAAAAAATGGCATATTCCTCCAGCATTCAAGTGAGTGTAGAAATACAGTACAAGTTTTTATTTTCATGTTCATAAATGTTACCCTGCTCATTCCCCAGCAGGACATAAAATCTGCCCCAACCACTTGTCTCTATGCTGATCTAACACACTTACAGTATCTCTTCAGAAAAGAGCCTACACAATTATATATATATATTTTTTTTTTCAACAAGTCGGTCGTCTCCCACCGAGGCAGGGTGACCCAAAAACGAAAGAAAATCCCCAAAAAGAAAATACTTTCATCATCATTCAACACTTTCACCACACTCACACATTATCACTGCTTTTGCAGAGGTGCTCAGAATACAACAGCTTAGAAGCATATACGTATAAAGATACACAACATATCCCTCCAAACTGCCAATATCCCAAACCCCTCCTTTAAAGTGCAAGCATTGTACTTCCCATTTCCACGACTCAAGTCCGACTATATGAAAATAACTGGTTTCCCTGAATCCCTTCACTAAATATTACCCTGCTCACACTCCAACAGATCATCAGGTCCCAAGTATCATTCGTCTCCATTCACTCCTATCTAACACGCTTATGCACGCTTGCTGGAAGTCCAAGCCCCTCGCCCACAAAACCTCCTTTACCCCCTCTTTCCAACCCTTTCGAGGATGACCCCTACCCCTCTTTCCTTCCCCTATAGATTTATATACTTTCCATGTCATTCTACTTTGATCCATTCTCTCTAAATGACCAAACCACCTCAACAACCCCTCTTCTGCCCTCTGACTAATGCTTTTATTAACTCCACACCTTCTCCTAATTTCCACACTCCGAATTTTCTGCATGATATTTACACCACACATTGCCCTTAGACAGGACATCTCCACTGCCTCCAACCGTCTGCTCGCTGCTGCATTTACCACCCAAGCTTCACATCCATATAAGAGTGTTGGTACTACTATACTTTCATACATTCCCTTCTTTGCCTCCATAGATAATGTTTTTTGACTCCACATATACCTCGACACACCACTCACCTTTTTTCCCTCATCAATTCTATGATTAACCTCATCCTTCATAAATCCATCCGCCGACACGTCAACTCCCAAGTATCTGAAAGCATTCACTTCTTCCATACTCCTCTTCCCCAATTTGATACCCAATTTTTTTTTATCTAAATCATTTGATCCCCTCATCACCTCTCTTTTCTGTTCACTTTCAACTTTCTCCTTTACACACTTTCTCAAATCACCCACAAACTTTGCAATTTTTTTTTAGAATTCCCATAAGCACAGTATCATCAGAAAAAAAAAATGTTCAATTCCTTTTGAATTTGATTCCCTAATTTAACCCCCACCCCTCCCGAACACCCTAGCATTTCTTTTTTTTATAACCCCATTAAAAATATATTAAACAACCATGGTGACTTTAACACCCCCTGTCTAAGACCTACTTTTACCGGGAGTATTCTCCCTCCTTCCCAAAACCCTAACCTGAGCCTCACTATCCTCATAAAAGTCTTTACAGCATTGTAACTTACCACCTATTCCATTACTTGCAACTCTGCCACATTGCTCCTCTATCCATCTATATATGCCTTTTTAAATCCATAAATGCAAAAAAAAACTTCCCTCCTTTATCAAAATCTGTTCCATATATGCTTCAATGAAAACATTGATCTACACTCCCCTACCCCTCTGAAGCCTCCTTGCTCACCGCAATTCTACATTCTGTCTTCCCTTAATTTTTTAATTATAACCCTACCGTATACTTTTCCTGGTATACTCAGTAAACTTATTCCTCTTAATTTTTTAAAATCTCTTTTATCCCCCTTTGCCTTTATAAAAAGGGAAAATTTGCGCTCTTGCCAATCCTGGTACCTTACCCTCTTCCTACCCCTTTTAAACAATTGCAAAACCACCCAAAACATATCCCCACCGCTTTTAACATTTCATTTTTACCCATCAATCCCGGCTCCCTTTTAACCCCTTCATTTTCCCTCTCCCTCCAATTTCCCCCACACCACAAGCTTTCCCACCTTAAAATGTTTTCCTCCTTGCCTATACAAAAAATTCACAGTTTCCCCCTATTTCATAACATTAAAAATTCCTCAAAATACCCTCCATCTTCCCAAAACCAAAACTCCCTTTTAATAACTCTCCTCCCCTATTTTTTAACTGCAAATCCATTGTTCCAGGTTTTCCAACTTGTTAATCCACTCCAAAACTTTTTTTTATTTTCAAAAAAATTTTTGTTGATAACACCCCCACCTCTATTTGCTCTCTTTTTACTTTGCTTCACCACCCCTTTAACCCTCTCCTTTTTCTCCATATACCTTCCCTCCTTGATCACTTCTATTTTGTAAAAACTTCTCATATGCAAACTTTTTTCTCCCTTACTACCTCTTTTCATCTTTCCACCATCGCTCCTCTTCCCCCCTGACCCACTTCCGTAACCACAAACTTCTGCTAAACACTCTAACACACTTTTTAAACTACCCCTTTCCTTTCGCCCCCATTGCCTTTGCTTCATTAGCCCATCTACCCTCCAATAGCTTTTTTATTCTTACCCAAACTGCCCCCTCTTTTAGTTTATAACCTTACCTCTCTTTTCCCGAGTTTTCTTTCTCCTTTGTATCCCATCTCCCTTTTACCTATGTACAACAACTAAAAATGATTGATATATCTGGGGCCCCTCAAAAACATGTACATCCTAAAGTTACTAAACGCTTTTTCTCCCAAACATAATCCAACAAACTACTGTCATTTCGCCCACATCTATCGTGTATACTTATTTATCCTCTTTTTTTTAAAAAATTTTTTTTTAAACCTTAAAAAAACCCCTTTTATCAAATTCAACAAAGGCCCCCATACATTTACACCGGCCCCCCAAACTTCCCTACCACCCCCTCTAAAAGTTTCCCTACTTTAGCTTTAGGCCCCCTCCACAATTACTCTCCATGGTTAAAAGGGCTCCTATACTTCATTTAACATCCCCCCAAAATCTCTTCTCTCCTCTGCTTTCCTCTCTTCTCCAGGTGCTACACCTTTTTGACCCACTTCCGACCCAACCCTTTACTTTAATCACAAAATTCCCGTTTTACACATTCATTTTTTTTTTCTCCTTCCATAACGATCTTTTAAATTATGACCCTTCCCTTTGCTCTAACTCTCTAGATACTCCAGTTTTAATCCCTTTTTTTTTTCCCCCCCGAAATCCCTCCCCCCTTCAGCTTTGTTTTTTACATGATATTATTTTTTTTACTTAGTGCTTGAGGAAATTTTTTTTTTAAAGTATTTTTTTTTTTTTTTTTTTTTTTTTTTTTTTTTTTTTTCAACAAGTGGGCCCGCTCCCACCGAGGCAGGGGGACCCAAAAAAAAGAAAATTCCCCAAAAATAAAAATATTTTCACATCATTCAACACTTTCACCACACCGCACATTATCACTTTTTTTGAAAGGGGTGTCAAAAATACAACAGTCAAAAGCATAAACAATAAAGATACACAACATACCCCTCCAAACTGCCAATATCCAAACCCCCCTTTAAAGGGGCATTTTACTCCCTTTCCCGGCTCAAGTCCACTATATGAAAATAACCGGTTTCCGAAACCCTTCACTAAATATTACCCTGCCACACTCCAACAGATCGTCATCCCAAAATACCATTGTCCTTCACTCCTATCTAACCCTCACGCACGCTTGCGGGGTCCCAAACCCTTACCCCCAAAAAACCCCCTTACCCCCTCTCTCCAAAACCCTTTCGAGGAACCCCTACCCCCCCTTCCTTCCCCCATAATTATATGCTTTCCATTCATTCTACTGTATCCATTCTCTCTAAATGACCAAACCACCCCAACAACCCCCTTTTTGCCCCCTGCTAATACTTTTATTTAAATCCACACCTTCTCCCAATTTTCCCCACTCCGAATTTTCTGCATAATATTTACACCACACATTGCCCTTAAACGGGGCTCTCCGCTGCCCCCAACCGTTCCCCTGCTGTTTACCAACCCCAAACTTTACCCCTATAAAGTGTTGGTATACTATACTTTCAACATTCCCCTTCTTTGCCTCCATGATAACGTTTTTTGACTCCACAATACCCCCAACCACCCCTCACCTTTTTTTTCCCCCATCAATTCTAGATTAACCTCATCCTTTTATAAATCCCTCCGCCACACGTCAACTCCCAAGTATCTAAACATTCACTTCTTTTCCCTTTCCTCCCCCCCAATTTGAAAAATCCAATTTTTTTTTATCTAAATCATTTGACACCCTCACACCTTACTTTTTTCTATGTTCATTCAACTTTCTACCTTTACAACATTCCCAACTATCCCCTAACCCTTTGCAATTTTTCTTTAGAATCTCCCTAACACAGTACATCACAAAAAAAACTGTGTCAATTCCCATTTTGAATTTTATTTCCCCCAATTTTAACCCACCCCTCTCCCAACACCCTGCATTTACTTCCTTTACAACCCCCTTTTTTTAAATATTAAAAAACCCATGGGACATTACCATCCCCGTCTAAGACCTCTTTTTACCGGGGAAATAGCTCCCCTCTTTCACCACCAACCGAGCCTCAATTCCCATAAAAACTTTTACAGCATTTAAAACTTTCCACCTATTCCATATACTTGCAACATCTGCACATTGCCCCTTCTACTCAAATGCCTTTTAAATCCCCTAAAAACAAAAAAAAAAATTCCCCATCTTTTTTTTAAATACTGTTCCTATACTTTAATGTAAAAACCTGATCTACCACCCCTACCCACTCTAAAACCCTCCTTGCTCACCCCAATCCTCATTCTGTCTACCCCTAATTCTTTCAATTTTAACCCTACCGAACTTTTCCTGTATCTCAGAAGCTTATTTCCCCTATAATTTTACATCTCTTTTGCCCCTTTCCCTTTAAAAAGGGGCAACTCTCTCCCGCCCAATCCCCAGGTACCTTTCCCCCCCTTTCATACATTTATTAAACAAAAGTACAACCAACCAACATATATCCCCCCCTGCTTTTAACATTTTTGCATGATCCCCTCATTCCAGCTGCTTTACCCCTTTCATTTTACGTAATGCCTCACGACCTCCCCCACACTTTCATTTGCTCTTCTTCACTCAAAAGATGGATACCTCCCGCCCTGCAGAAATTACTGCCCCTGTTTCTTCCTTAACATTAAAAGTTTCCCCAAAAATATTCTCGCCATCTCCCCTACTCCATCTCCCCTCTACTAACTCCCCCACCGTTTTTAATCCCATATTTTTTCCCCAGGGTTTTTTAAATTTTTTAACCACTCCAAAATTTTTTCTTATTTTTTTTAAATTTCTTGACAGTGCCTCTCCCACTCTATCTCTGCCTCCTTTTGCACTCTCTCACCACTCTCTTACCTTTTTTTTACTTCCATAACTCTGTCTTCTTATAACACTTTGCTTTGTAAAAAACCCCTCATAAGCACCTTTTTTTTTCTTTTATCACACCCCTTTTCTTCATCATTCACCAATCACTCCTCTTTCCCCCTGCCCCCCCCCCTCCTATAACCAAAAATTCTGCCCCCATCTAAAACTGCATTTTTTAAAATACCAACCCCTTAACCCCCCCCCTACTCACTTTTCACTACCCCCCTTTCTGCAATAGTCCTTTTACCACCCAATTCCTCCCCCTTATTTATACACTTTACCTCCCTTTACTTTTGTTGCCACCCCTTTCCCCTTTTCCCCCCTCCTCTTTCCTAACTGTACACAACTAAATAAGACCCATAATCTTGCCCCTCTATAAAAATGTACACCCGGAGCTACCCACAAACCCTTTTTTTCCCCAATACTAATTAATAAAAACCCTTTTATTTCTGCTAACATACCTTGTATATTTATTTTTCCCTTTTTTATAAAAAATGTATTACTTATTTCCCAAATTTTTTTCTACACAAACCCCAATTTAAAAGGCTCCCCATTTAATTTACCCCCCGCACCCCAAATTTCCTATACTTCCCCCCATAATTTTACCCACTTTAGCATTAAAAATCCCCAACCACCATTACCCACACTTGATTCAAAACCCCCACCTTCACTCAACATTTTTCCCAAAATCTCTCTCTCTCCCCCACATTCTCTCTTCTCCAGGTGCACACCTTTTTTTAACCCACTTTTCCCCATCCAATCTTTATTTTACTCCACATAAACCTTGAAATTTAAAAATTTATAGTATTGGAATATATGATAGTGAATTTTAATTTTTACTGCATAAGCTATCTTGTTTCAAATTTTTTTTGTATTGTACTGTAAAAATTCTATCCATAAATTGGAATAATACTTTTTCCTTGCAGTGGGAGTTTTTTCATTTTTTTCTTGATCGCACAAATCGCTTGTCTGAGTGAAGGGAAAGCTTGATCTTTTTCTAAGAAAATTCTCATTTAAAGCAAGAGGAACAGAGCTCGAGTCAAAGGGGTGAGTTTTAACAAATAGTTTAATTCAGTGCCTGCACTCGAAGAGGTGGGGGTATTTGCAGTTTGGGGGCATTTGAACTGTAGTAAATGTTTTTCTCTGCTTAAGAATTTTTCTTATCCATTGGGGTCACCCATTGATATGTTACTCCTAAAATTGTGACTTCTGTATATATCTTTCTTTTCTTTCAACAAATCGGCCGTATCCCACCGAGGCGGGGTGGCCCAAAATGAAAAACAAAAGTTTCTCTTTTTAAATTTATAATTTAACAGGAAAGGGGTTTCTAGCCCCTTGCTCCTGGCATTTTAGTTGCCTCCTACAACACGCATGGCTTACGGAAGAAGAATTCTGTTCCACTTTCACATGGAGATAAGAGGAAATAAACAAGAAGAAGATCTAGAAAGAAAATAGCAGAAAACCCAGAGGGGTGTGTGTATATATATGCTTGTACATTTATGTGTAGTGTGACCTAAGTGTAAGTAGAAGTAGCAAGACATACCTGAAATCTTGCATTTTTATGAGACAGAAAAAAGGACACCAGCAATCCTACCATCATGTAAAACAATTACAGGCTTTCGTTTTACACTCACTTGGCAGGACGGTAGTACCTCCCTGGGCAGTTGCTGTCTACCAGCCTACTACCTAGTTCTGTATATATATGGTGATCAATTATTTTCTTCGTGACTTTTTTTTTTTTAGCTACCTATACTGTGGCATACCCATAAATAAAAATTAATTTGTGTTGGAAGATTAAAAAAAAAAAATCACTCATTGGCAACAGTGGCATAAATTCACCATCAATATTTATGTTTTACAATTTATTGATGTGATGAATGGTTTTGAAAACTGACAAGTTGAAGAATTGAGACACTTATGCAACATATAGGAATCTTTATTGAAGAAATGTTTCACCACACAGTGGCTTCATCAGTCTGATACAAAGTAGAAATGGGTAAGGAGAAGAGGAGATTGAGGTACTCAGTCCCTCAGCCTGGAATTGGTGTGTTCAGTCCATCACTTTTGTAGGAAGTACAGTACAGGGCCAGAGAGGTCGCTTATATAATGCAGTCAGGTGAATCGAAGCAGGAGGAGGTGGGATCACAGTGGGACCTTCCACTAGTGTAAGTAGGTCATCGTCCAAAGGTTGGACAAGCGTTGAAGAAGTCTTTGTACCAAGATCCCATGATGTTGCAGTGTCTTACAGATGTGATAAATGGTTTAAAAAACCGACAAGTTGAAGATTGAGACACTTATGCAACATATGGGAATCTTTATTGAGGAAACGTTTCACCCTTCTGATTTGTATTGGACTGATGAAGCCACTGTGTGACGAAACGTTTCCTCAATGAAGATTCCCATATGTTGCATAAGTGTCTCATTTCTTCAACAATTTAATGACACCAGGATATGATTGTTTTTCTGTTTTTTAATTACTTTTAATGTTTAACACTTGTTCACTAGTTTCTAGAGAGTTTAGATGTGTTTAAAGATGTTTTAGTATTTCAAACATGAGGAAATGCTTTGCCCGACATTGCTTCACTTGGAATGTAAGGTATGCACACAGTATATATTATTTTTTTTTTTAAATGCTGGCCGTATTCCATTGAGGCGGGATGGCCTAAAAAGAAAAACAAAAGTTTTCTTATTAAGTATTTTATTCCCAGCATTTTAGTTGCCTCTTACGACACACATGGCTTAAGGAGGAAGAATTTTGTTCTACTTACCCATGGAGAACGAACCCCAATGGAAATAAGTCACTCTGTCTGACTTTTTTGGGTTATCCTAGGTTCTCTACACATATGTTGCTATGTATGATAATATTGTGTATACCTGAATAAACTTACTATAATTATGTTTATTTTATTTTTTTATTAGTTTGGTCTTCTAACACTATTTACAAGGAATACTTATAATATTACAATTGTTTTAGAGTGTAATACTCATCAAAACATGGAAATTCACATTATTTGACTTTAAAAAAATAAAACATTAAATTTTTTTATTCTTTGTGTAGTATACAAAGTGTAGTTTACATGTAATAAAGTATTGTTAAGCACAAAGAAAGCCACTATCATGCTTCAACATTTCAGACAGACTGATTCTAACGTTATAGACTTCTTAAAACTAGACATAGGTTATGGAGTGGTTCCACACCATCTACAGCCATCTCACCCATTGCAGCATTTAGTAATTCTCTAACTTGTCTCAAAGCTCCCTAAACATTACTTAACTCCTCCAAAAATCTTTTTTTCTTTCCCCACATCCCTCCCTCAATCCTTCTCCTATCCCCCTTCCCCAGGTGCATACACTCTTACTATGATCCACTTCTGATATCTGACCTTCATTGTAGCTCTTAATTCTTGAACTTATACTCTTGTAATCCCTATTTTCTTTGCATAATTGATCATTTAACATTACCACTACACTTCCTCTAACTCCTATTCTTTCAGATACACTCGATCTAATCCCATTTACCCTTCCCCATTGAAATTTTCCCTCCCCCTGTTATTGTTATTGTTGATGTTGCAATTGTTGTAAAACTGCACTTGTTCTTAAGTACTACTGTTACTTATCTGCAGACTATGTGTCATTAAACTGAGATTTTGTATCATTCTTCATTGACATTCAGTTCTTCATATCTTATCTTTTTTTTACTTTCTTGAATTATTTGGTGTTTTTTAAATGAATTAATATTTCCACAGGTGTAATCATATGGAGGCTGACTGTGAAAACATTAAGTCAGAGAATGATATACTTCTCAATAAGGCTTTAGAACTTCATGATCTTCTTAAAGGTCTAGCAGGGCGACCCCTTCCACTTCCACCACTTGTGGCTGCTTTGCATAACCCTCCAAGCCCTCCACTACCCACTAGACCACTTCCAAAAGGCAGCTTGCGGGGACCAATTATGACTAAGGCAGCAGCAAAAATGATGATGACAGAGCAGGCACCACCAACGGGAGGTGAGTGTTGGTTCATTACTTGCAAGCACAGTGTTGGTACCATTCTCTCAGTCTACTTCTAATGCTTTGTTCCTTTTATATATTAAGGGGTAATTGAAGCACTCTTTAATCAGACTCAATGCATACATTCTCTAGGACAAAACAATGTGTTGTATAGCTTCTGTTTAAATTGCAGACTGAGAAAGTATTTTTCTAGTAAATTTTCTTCATTTTTTTATACACATAATATCAAGTTAAACTGAAATATGTGTATTCAGAATTTATAAAAACATGCTTCTTGATCATGTTATGTATATTGTATTGTAAAAATATTTAAGCTTTGTTGCCAGTGGTGGCAATGATGAGAACTAGTTGCTGTAAATTGCAGCTTATGAGTCTAGTTTCAAAGCTTAATTTTCTGTTTCAAATTTAGGGGTACACTTGTATGATAAATATAAATAACAAATATGGTAAACCTTTGAATTAATGAACTCTGAAAATTTTGAGACTAAATTCACCTGGTTATTTGAACTGGAAACAGTAGACTAAGTTCATTGGTTACAGAACTGTCTATTATTGTTAGTCACTCAAAAAACCTCATCTCTCTATCCACCACAGTTGCCACCACCAGCCACCTGCTCCTCCTTATTGATCCATTAAGTTGAAAGTTTACTGTACTAAACAAGGCTTAATACCAGGCTGCAACTCTGATTTTCAACACTCATAAACACTGCTATGGTATCTACATATAAGATTTATTGTTGTTACTGTACTATTGAGCATTTACCTTTTTTTTTTTTTTTAATAGTCAACCTTGCAAATTCATGGGACTCCTTATTTGAAAATTTCAATTATTCATTATTTTTACTGATGGGCAACCTGCATATAGGTTTAATTATTCAACTGTTTTCTGGCAGTTTCCACTATTTTCATGCTTGGCATGTGACCCTTTTACTAAAAACTAGCCATAAAATTTCCTTCAAACTGTGCTGAATGGCTCTCTCATAAATCTCTTCTCTCTTGGTTCTGGTCATTCACTTTTATGAATGTCAATATTGATTAAATTAGAGTGATATCTTACTCAAAATGGTCTCTTGAAAAAAATTAGCCCAAATCTAAAACAAAATTTATTATGCAGACATACACAGATAACCCACACATAGGAGAGAGGAGCTTACGACGACATTTTGGTCTGACTTTGTAAACGGTCCAAGACGGACTGAAATGTTGTCGTAAGACGGACCGAAATGTGTGCACGTGCTCGTGCACACACCTAATTGTGGTTGTAGGGGTCGAGACTCAGCTCCTGGCCCCACCTCTTCACCGAATGCTACCAGGTCCCCTCTCTCCCTGCTCCATGAGCTTTATCATACCTCGTCTTAAAGCTGTGTATGGTTCCTGCCTCCACTACATCACTCGCCAGACTGTTCCACTTCTTGACTACTCTATGGCTGAAGAAATCCTTCCTAACATCCCTTTGACTCATCTGATTCTTCAACTTCCAAGTGTGACCCCTTGTTTCTGTGTCCCCTCTCTGGAACATCCTGTCTCTGTCCAACTTGTCTATTCCACACAGTATTTTGTATGTCATTATGTATCCCCTAACCCTTCTGTCCTCCAGTGTCGTCAGGCCAATTTCCTGTAACCTTTCTTCGTAGGACATTCCCCTTAGCTCTGGAACTAACCTTGTCACAAACCTTTGCACTTTCTCTAATTTCTTGACGTGCTTGACCCGGTGCAGGTTCCAAACTGGTGCTGCATACTCCAGTATGGGCCTGACATACACAGTGTAAAGTGTGTGTGTGTGCGTACCCACCTAATTGCATTCACCTATTTGCACTCACCTAATTGTGGTTACAGGGGTTGAGACTCAGCTCTTGGCCCCGCCTGTTCACCGAGTGCTACTAGGTCCTGTCTCTCCTTGCTCCATGAGCTTTATCATACCTCATCTTAAAGCTATGTATAGCTCCTGCCTCCACTACCTCACTTGCTAGGCTATTCCACTTCCTGACTTTGACTGAAGAAATATTTTCCTAACATCCCTTTGACTCATCTGGGTCTTCAACTTCCAATTATGACCCCTTGTTTCTGTGTCCCCTCTCTGGAACATCCTGTCTCTGTCCACCTTGTCTATTCCACGCAGTGTTTTGTATGTCGTTATCATGTCTCCCATAACCCTCCTGTCCTTCAGTGTCGTCAGGCCAATTTCCCTCTACCTTTCTTCATAGGACATTCCCCTTAGCTCTGGAACTAACCTTGTCACAAACCTTTGCACTTTCTCTAATTTCTTGACGTGTTTGATCGAGTGTGGGTTCCAAACAGGTGCTACATACTCCAGTATGGGCCTGACATACACGGTGTACAGTGTCTTGAACGATTCCTTACTATGGTATAGGAACGCTGTTCTCAGGTTTGCCAGGTGCCCCTATGCTGCAGCAGTTATCTGGTTGATGTGTGCTTCCGGAGACGTGCTCAGTGTTATACTCATCCCAAGATCTTTCTCCTTGAGCGAGGTTTGCAGTCTTTGGCCACCTAGCCTATACTCTGTCTGCGGTCTTCTGTGCCCCTCCCCTATCTTCATGACTTTGCATTTGGCGGGGTATATTCAAGAAGCCAGTTGCTGGATCAGGTGTCCAACCTGTCCAGGTCTCTTTGAAGTCCTGCCTGATCATCATCTGATTTAAATCTCCTCATTAACTTCACATCATCTGCAAACAGGGACACTTCTGAATCTAGCCCTTCCATCATGTCATTCACATATACCAAAAATAGCACTGGTCCTAGGACCGACCCCTGTGGGACCCTGCTCGTCACAGGTGCCCACTGTGATACCTCATCCCGTACCATGACTCATTGTTGCCTCCCTCTCAGGTATTCTCTGATCCATTGCAGTGCCCTTCCTGTTATATGTGCCTGATCCTCTAGCTTCTGCACTAATCCCTTGTGAGGACCTGTGTCAAAGGCCTTCTTGCAGTCCAAGAAGATGTAATCAACCCACCCCTCTCTCTCATGTCTTACTTCTGTTACTTTATCATAAAACTCCTGAAGGTTTGTGACACAGGATTTGCCTTCCATAAATCTGTGCTGGTTGGCGTTTATACTCTTGTTCCGTTCCAGGTGCTCCACCACTCTCCTCCTGATAATCTTCTCCATAACTTTGCTTACTATACACGTCAGTGACACAGGTCTATAGTTTAGTGCCTCTTTTCTGTCTCCTTTTTTAAAAATGGGAACTACATTTGCCGTCTTCCATACCTCAGGTAGTTGCCCAGTTTCCAGGGACATGTTGAAGGTTGTGGTAAGTGGCACACACAACATATCCGCTCCCTCTCTAAGGACTTACAGGGAGATGTTGTCTGGTCCCATTGCCTTTGAGGTATCGATGTCCCTTAGCAGTTTCTTCACCTCCTCCTCATCTGTATGCATGTCATCCAACACTTGTTGGTATATTCCTTGCTGGTGTCCCCATCTGGCCTGTCCCCCGAGAGGCCTTCCTGTCTCCACTGTAAATACTTCCTTAAATCTCATGTTGAGCTCCTCACATACCTCTTGATCGTTTCTTGTGAGTTCTCCACCCTCTTTCCTCAGCCTTATCACCTGGTCTTTGACTGTTGTCTTCCTCCTAATGTGGCTATACAGCAGTTTCGGGTCAGACTTGACTTTCGATGCTATGTCGTTTTCGTACTGTCGCTGGGCCTCCCTCCTTATCTGTGCATACTCGTTTCTGGCTCTTCTACTAATCCCTTATTTTCCTGGGCCCTTTGCCTCCTGTACCTTTTCCATTCTCTGGTGCACTTAGTTTTTGCCTCCCTACACCTTCGGGTAAACCAAGGACTCGCTTTGGTCTTCCTATTATTTCTGTTTCCCTTGGGAACAAACCTTTCCTCTGCCTCCTTACACTTTGTTGCTACATATTCCATCATCTCGTTTACTGATTTTCCTACCAGGTCTCTGTCCCACTGAACCTCCTGCAGGAAGTTCCTCATACCTGTGTAGTCCCCCCTTTTGTAGTTTGGCTTTTCCCATTCAGTTCCTGTTACCTTCTCCACTTGTAACTTTACTATATAATCAAAACTCAGAACCACGTGATCGCTAGCTCCAAGGGGCCTCTCGTAAGTGATGTCCTCAATGTCTGAACTGCTCAGGGTGAACACAAGATCCAGTCTTGCTGGCTCATCCTCCCCTCTCTCTCTGGTAGTGTCCCTGACATGTTGATGCATGAGGTTTTCAAGTACCACATCCATCATCTTGGCTCTCCATGTTTCGGGACCCCCATGTGGCTCCAGGTTTTCCCAGTCAATTTCCCTGTGGTTGAAATCGCCCGTTACCAGTAACTTTGCTCTGCTCGAGTGAGCTCTTCTTGCCACCTCAGCCATTGTGTCCACCATCGCCCTGTTGTTTTCTTCGTACTCCTCTCTTGGCCTCCTGGAGTTCTGTGGTGGGTTATACATCACTCCAATGACTACTTTATGTTCTCCAGACTGAATTGTACCTACTATGTAGTATCTTTCTCCAGTCACGTCCATGCCTTCCATTTCCTCAAGTCCCCATCGGTTTTTTATGAGCAGTGCAACTCCTCCTCCCCCTCTACTCCTATCTTTTCTCAGGATCTGATATCTCGGTGGGAAGATTGCGTCTGTTATTGTCTCAGCGAGTTTTGTTTCTGTGACTGCTATGATGTCTGGGGATTTCTCACTGATTCTTTCGTGCCACTCCTCGTGTTTATTCGTTATTTCGTCCACGTTTGTGTACCAAACTTTCAGCTCCTTTTCTATCACTGTGGTCCTGCAAGAATATTGGGGTTGGGGGAGTGGGAGCCTTGGTGGGGGGCTGTGGTGTAGGTGGGGTTTGTGATATGGGTGTGTGTGTGTGTGTGTGTGTGGTGGTGTGTGTGTGTGTGTGTGTGTGTGTGTGTGTGTGTGTGTGTGTTGTGTGTGTGTGTGTGTGGTGTTCTGTCTGTCTCTCTGTCTCTCTGTCTCTCTGTCTGTCTGTCTGTCTGTCTGTCTCTGTCTCTGTGTCTGTCTGTCTGTGTCTGTCTGTCTGTGTTTGTGTCTGGTAAATGATGGCTTCCCAATGGAAGCTGGGCTGTAGGGACAAAGGGCAGCAAACCCCCCCATGAAAGAGAAGGACTGTCAGGTGATTGTAGTCCAAAGCATTTTGCCTGAGGCGCATGCCAACCGAATACTCACTGCAGCAAATGTGAGAGTGGCAAATTTAAGGTATTCACGATGAGCACCTCAGTTTGGCAGGCTGTTCTGGGAAAAATAAAAAAATGCAGCACTTGAAAATGATAGCACAGTGTAACTGAAAGAGCTGCTACCTTGTGCAGTTTGTCATCTCCTCCACAGCCACCAATCACAAAAACTAACATGACTACCTGTGGTTTACAAACTGCTACTTTACAATTATTTACAATACAAGTGGTTTTGCCTATTATGTACTGGCAACATGTAAATAATAATTTATAATAGTTACTAATTACTTTAATCTGGGAAACAGTGTTATACACAAGAGTGAGAGGGAGGGGGAGTTGTTAGTTAGTTTACCTGTACTGCCATTCTCCACATGTACCAGAAAATACAGTACATGCACCATTATGTACTTTTTATGTGCTCGTAATTTGTGAGCCTTTAAACCACAATGTACAAAACATCATACAATATTGCAATTAATTAATGGAGTGTTACCTCTCAGTATATGGAAATAAATTACAGTGTTTGACTTTTTTAGGTTATCCTAGGTTAAAAATAGGTGTATGTTGTAATTTTTTTTTTTTTGTGTGTGCGCGCGCGCGCCCATAACGTGTCTTCCTTTAAAACCATTGTAAAAAAAAGTATGAAAGGTATGTAGTCATAATTAAATGTTATCATTGTTAGTACTGTTACCACTGTACTAACATTCATATAGAGTGGCATGTCAAACACCTTGTTTATATGTCCTACCTAGCCCTACATTTTTTGCTATGAATGACAAGGTAGCAGGACACACGAACAATTGAGCTGAGGCATAAAATATCAGCTGGCAGCAAATTTGAGGCCAGCTAAAATCTGTGTTTATAAATATCATGCAGAACACAAGCTTCAATATGTTAATCACAGTTAAAGAGTTAATTCACTGGCTGAGCCCCCAGCCAAACCTCAGATTATAATGTCTACTGATAGTTAGTTTTGGATTTCCATTTTTGGCAGGATGTCCAAGCAGGGATGTGAGAATGCTGTTTGTCTCATCCTCCCAGAACTGCATGTGTTATATTCACTTGGCTTGTAAAAATGCATGCATACTGCTTACCTACAGAATAGCTAGAAGGCAGTCTTCTGTGATTCATAAGGAGAGGGGCTCGAGAACACGATGTTCAGCACAGTCATGCAGTGGGAGGATGTCGACTTCAGGCATAGCTTTGAATGATGATACAAGACTTGCTTAGTTTCTGGCCAGTTGTTTGGTAGTCGACTAATGATACAAGACCAACTTGGTTTCTGGCTAATTGTTTGGTAGTCGAGATGCCTGATACCTGTTCACTGTGTGATGTCACAGGTGAGGGCCTCTGAAGCCAGGGTCCTAGACCCAGTCAAACATATTGGATTTCCAGTGGATTTTGAATGGCATTGAGGCTCATCAGGGAAGTAAGCAGATGTAATCCCTGGTTTCTTGTTAAGTATCAGTAATAGACTGAGTAGAGGGGGGGGGGTGTATTTCAAACCTTCAACCTAAGGAAGATTATCCCCAGATGACGTGTGGTGGAGGATCCTTCCCACGTGAAGTGCTCGTGGGAATCTCTGTATGAAATGGGCTCCAGCCTGTCAGGGAACACTTGAGTCAGGTTGCTCAACTGTCACAGAGCCAATATGACAGTCATGAAGATTGGGGAGGGGCAAAGAAGACCGCAGACAGAGTATAGGCTAGGTGGACAAAGACTACAGACCTCACTCAGGGAGAAAGACCTTGGGGTGACCATAACACCGAGCACATCACCGGAGGCACACATCAACCAAATAACCGCTGCAGCATATGGGCGCCTGGCAAACCTGAGAATAGCGTTCCGATACCTTAATAAGGAATCGTTCAAGACACTGTACACTGTGTATGTTAGGCCCATACTGGAGTATGCAGCACCAGTCTGGAACCCACACCTGGTCAAGCACATCAAGAAGTTAGAGGAAGTACAAAGGTTTGCAACAAGGCTAGTCCCAGAGCTCAAGGGAATGTTGTACGAGGAAAGGTTAAGGGAAATCGGACTGACGACACTGGAGGACAGAAGGGTCAGGGGAGACATGATAACGACATACAAGATACTGCGGGGAATAGACAAGGTGGACAGAGATAGGATGTTCCAGAGAGGGGACACAGGGACAAGGGGTCACAACTGGAAGCTGAAGACTCAGACGAGTCACAGGGACGTTAGGAAGTATTTCTTCAGTCATAGAGTTGTCAGCAAGTGGAATAGCCTAGCAAGTGAAGTAGTGGAGGCAGGAACCATACATAGTTTTAAGAAGAGGTATGACAAAGCTCAGGAAGCAGAGAGAGAGAGGATCCAGTAGCGATCAGTGAAGAGGCGGGGCCAGGAGCTGAGTCTCGACCCCTGCAACCACAATTAGGTGAGTACAATTAGGTGAGTACAAGCAAACTCAAAGGCTGTCACTGTCAGGATTCCTTGAAGAGCAGATTGCTCTCTAGTAAATCTTACCCAAAGTTTCAGGCTTGTCTAGGGACTGGGCAGATGAGGTGCTGGCTGGATGAGTCATCCATTGTGTAGAGTGGAATACTAAAGGTTATTAACAAATCACATGTGGTTGTTAACTGGAGAGATAGCAGTGGAGTTGGCAGCTGGAAGCCTCTGGGCACAACTAGTGAACGTGGATGGGTGAAACAGGTGAGCAATACTAATCTGAGTGGGAAAGTGCCCAGAAAGAGAGGAGTGGAAATATGACTATGTAGTGGTTGTGTTCCTAGTGAGCCACCAGAACCCCACAGTAAAAGTAATAATCATAAAGAAAATGTATGTAGGCTGAGATTGGAAGACTGAGGGGAAACAATCTAGGATAGAGTAATAGCCTCCAAACTAGTGGACAACATTGATGGCGAGCAAAACTGTTCTTTATGTTTTGTTTGTTTACATTAACAGACTTGTTCTTTTTATTTTTTTATTTTGTGGAGATTTCAGCTAGGCATTTTCAGTATTTTAATGTGTTCTTCCATATAGTAATGGAAAATACCTGCACTGTATGCAAATACCATATGGTCATGTTTATTTTGGGAGGAATGCCCCTTAACCCCTTTCATTGTCCATCGCACACAATTGTACATCATTGAGGTCAGAGTCCCTCATGTTGTTCTACGTCATGAGTTCAGCTTACTTAGATAAGCTGTGAGTAGTAAATTTTAGCCTAGATATGAGAAAATGGGTCTGTGCAATGAGTGTGCACAGTATGAAAAATAAATTCTGTTCCCACGTGGTGCATGATGGGAAAAACAAAATTGGCCATGTCTATAGTTTAAAATAGCAAATTTGAAGTGTTTTCTTGGATAATTTTTATGATTTTATTGGTTGTTTCTTGGCATCATTTGATAGAATGGAAGACATATTACTAAACTAAAAATGACTTTGATTGGTTTAAGGACTGTAAGTGGCTCTAAATTCAGTTCAAATTTGTGGAAATATTAGATTTTTGCTGATCCTTTAGAGGACAGATAAGGTGGGGAATCATTTTTTGTGGCAGGTGGAGACCCAAATCAATATTTTTAGCAGGAAAAGAAGATTGTTTTAAATGCCAGGTCTACTAGTACGCCGCAGTTTACGGTATGTCTAAAAATCATGTTTGGGGTTTTTGGTTTTGGTATTTCATTAGTACACTTATTAAATTGCTTCAACTTTAATAGATTTATGCCATGATATCATATACGTAATCATATGATGTATTTATACCATGGTGTTATATATTCATATGATGTATTTATGCAGAATTCTAAATGTAAGTTTTGTATGTTCCTTTTCAGTAATGTATCAGTTTAATACTTGCAGGTGGAGACAAGTGGTTTTTGGGATTTGACGTGCTGTTGGCTCGTGAGCAAGGTAATATTTGTGAGGGAATTCAAGAAAACTGTTTACAGTAATGGAATTGAGTTCTAGAGGTGGAAAGCACAATGCCTTCATTATTTTGAAGGATGGGCGAGCGTGTTATGAGAATAATTGGAATTGTGATGTCCATGTACTTATGGAACAACTAGAGAATGTATTTTGGTCACCCTGCCTTTGTCAGTGTGTTTAAAAAATCCATGTGTTGGGTGTACATAATATTTAATGTAAAATTTGTTATTTAAACAATGAAAAGCATATTTTAAAAATCACACTAATAAAATCTGACACCTTTTGGTATCATTTTACTTCTTAAAAGAATACAGGAGAGCCCCGCTTATATGGCAGGTTAGGTTCCAGGCTACTGCCGTAAAGCGGAAATTACTGTACAGTGAATCACTTTTATTTTTTTACTTTTAAATGCATATGAATGCCTCATAACATCTTTACACTATCGTAAATTAAATTAGCAGTAGAACTAGGCATCAAAAAAAAAAATGAAGTAAAATGCACATGCAGTACACTCATTACTTACCTTAAAAAAATTACCCTAAAGTATCTATTGTAGGAAGTCAGGTGTGGTAACCCACCTGCCTACCACACTTCAAAATTATGTTTATTTGTTTTACTATGATTGTATATATTTTGTTTATATGATATGTAGCATATTTATTATATAATTTTGAAAAAATGTTATAGATGGATTAATAAAAATGTCTATAACAACATAATACAGTGGACCCCCGGTATTCGATATTAATCTGTTCCTGAGAGCTCATCGAATACCGAAAATATCGAAAAGCGAATCAATTTTCCTCTTAAGAAATAATGGAAATCAAATTAATCCGTGCAAGACACCCAAAAGTATGAAAAAAAAAAAATTACCACATGAAATATTAAGTTTAATGCAATAGAATAATCACAATAACAACAATAACAATAGAATAGTTGACACTTACCTTTAACGAAGATCTGGTGATGTTGATGGGATGGGAGGAGGGGAGAGGTGTTAGTGTTTAGAAGGGGAATCCCCTTCCATTAGGACTTGAGGTAGCAAGTCCTTTTCCGGGGTTACTTCCCTTCTTCTTTTAATGCCACTAGGACCAGCTTGAGAGTCACTGGACTTCTGTCACACAACATATCTGTCCATAGTGGCCTGTACCTCCTGTTCCTTTATGACATTCCTAAAGTGTTTCATAACATTGTCAGTGTAATAGTCACCAGCACGGCTTGCAATAGCTGTGTTAGGGTGATTGTCATCAAAAAAGGTTTGCACTTTAAGCCACATTGCACACATTTCCTTAATCTTTGAAGTAGGCAACTTCTTCAATTTCTCTATCCCCTCCTCCGAAGCAGTTTCCTCAGGTCTGGTCTCTTGCTGTTGAAGATGATCTAGCAGCTCATCAGTGGTTAGTTCTTCATTGTCCTCCTCCACCAACTCTTCCACATCCTCCACACTAACCTCCAACCCCAAGGACTTCCCCAATGCCACAGTAGATTCCTCAACTGGCATAGGCTTCTCAGGGTTAGCCTCAAATCCTTCAAAATCCCTTTTGTCTACACATTCTGGCCACATTGCCCTTAGACAGGACATCTCCACTGCCTCCAACCGTCTCCTCGCTGCTGCATTTACCACCCAAGCTTCACATCCATATAAGAGTGTTGGTACTACTATACTTTCATACATTCCCTTCTTTGCCTCCATAGATAACGTTTTTTGACTCCACATATACCTCAACGCACCATTCACCTTTTTTCCCTCATCAATTCTATGATTAACCTCATCCTTCATAAATCCATCCGCCGACATGTCAACTCCCAAGTATCTGAAAACATTCACTTCTTCCATACTCCTCCTCCCCAATTTGATATCCAATTTTTCTTTATCTAAATCATTTGATACCCTCATCACCCTACTCTTTTCTATGTTCACTTTCAACTTTCTACCTTTACACACATTCTCAAACTCATCCACTAACCTTTGCAATTTTTCTTTAGAATCTCCCATAAGCACAGTATCATCAGCAAAAAGTAACTGTGTCAATTCCCATTTTGAATTTGATTCCCCATAATTTAATCCCACCCCTCTCCCGAACACCCTAGGGTGGTAGACAGCAACCACCCAGGGAGGTACTACCGTCCTGCCATGTGAGTGTAAAATGAAAGCCTGTAATTGTTTTACATGATGGTAGGATTGCTGGTGTCTTTTGTCTGTCTCATAAATATGCAAGATTACAGGTACGTCTTGCTACTTCTACTTACACTTAGGTCACACTACACATACATGTACACGTTTATTTATACACACTCATCTGAGTTTTCTTTGATTTTATCTTAATAGTTCTTGGTCTTATTACTTTTCCTTTTATATCCATGGGGAAGTGGAATAAGAATCTTTCCTCCGTAAGCCATGCGTGTTGTAAAAGTCAACTAAAATGCCGGGAACAATGGGCTAGTAACCCCTTTTCCTGTAAAGATTACTAAAAAGAATAAGAAGAAGAAAATTGTCATATATATATATATATATATATATATATATATATATATATATATAATATATATATATATATATATATATATATATATATATATATAATATATATATATATATATATATATATTATATATATATATATATATATATATATATATATATATATATATATATATATATATATATATATATATATTATATATATATACACACACACACACACACACACACACACACACACACACACACACACACACACACACACACACACACACACACACACACACACACACACACACTCACACTCACACTAACTATACATGTATATATATATATATAAATAAATTTAAATAAAATATGCAGTAATGTTAAAACACTTGAAATTTTGGAAAGTTTCCAGACATAATCAAGAGACGTGGAGGTTGTAAACAGAGCGCCATGTGGATGTCTTAATAGTGAATCAAGGAGCTGTATAAATGAATTTTTGGTCATAATTTGAAATGTCCATATTAGTGAATTACCATAAAGCAATGAGCCATAAAGCGGGGCCCTACTGTATGGCTCATGAATCTCCATCAGTTAAATTAAAAGGCATTATAGTGTTGAAAAAACTGTAGCCAAATATGTTTTCAGTGTGCTGTTCTTAAGAAAAATGAATTTTAAATCTGTAGGTCTTGAAAGTTCTCATATTGAACAAACTTTAAATCTCTAAGTCTTGTAGGTACTTACACATACTTACACTTGTATGCATTTCAGAAAATTAATTTTACACTTCCTGAGATTGGATGTGCAGTACCAATACTTGTACAGAAAGAATTTTGTGTTATAAATTTAATGCATTCTTGTGCAGAATGAGCTGCACACTGAAAGCATTTGGAAATACTTGTTTGTTATACATTTTATGATACTGTTCATGTTTAGATTTGAACATACTCTTTAGGAAATAATTTTAGGTATACAGTAGTTTGAATTAGAACTATGTTAGATGCTCTTTTTAAAGGGGGTAACCATAAACCCCTTTATCTGTAAATAAAAGCTAATACTTTTAACCCCCAAAAATGTCTGGGCTTGAGGTAAAATTTTTATAAGCATTATTACTGTTCATGGTTAAAGCCAGCTCCTAGCTGCACAACAGTTAAAGTGTGCAGTTTTTTGGTTCATCATAGCAACTCTTAGTGAATGAACAAAAATTTATTAATAACACTGGTACGCTTTTTTAAAGTGGTGAGTCTCTTGGGTTATTTAAAAGGGTTTCTGCTAAATTTTTTATCATCTGGAAAATGAAAGGCAAATTTATGCCTTATTAAGGTTACAATCAACCTCATCCCCATTGGGTTTATTTTTTTTGATCATCCAGTCTTTCATTTACGAATAATAAAATAAATAATGGTCTAGGAAGGGAAAAAAAATATTATTGAATTTTTGTTTCAATAACTGTGGATTAATAGTGAACTAAAGGAAATTTTTAAAAAGTGGTATACATCTTTAGACATCATTATAATTTTACTGGGAAGAATTCCCTATGAGCTATGTCATGCCTTTGTTGATGTATTTGAAAATTTCCACTTACTATTTTTACTCTGATGATCAGGGGTTCTCCCACCCCCCCTCAAAGCTCTGAGATATTTAAGGTATTCATTTTATCAAAAATTAGCAATTGTACTACTAAAAACTGGGGAAGTACAGTTAAGGGGTAGTGTTCGCATTTCTTCTTCCACCCTTTTCTCAGATAACGGGAAAAAAAGGGTTGACACATTGGAAACAGATGAAAAAGTGTTATGTAGTGTACAGTATAATTAAGTAGCCCCCCCCGTATCTGGGGGGTGATATTTTCCGGACCTACCGCAGAGTCTGTCCCCACAGACAGGGGAAAACCCCTATGTACAAGTTGTTTTTCATTTACATACAGCCTATATAATTTTAATTGATAAATTATACACAGTATGACAATTATAAACATTAAATTAAAAAAAACAATCTGCTGCTGCCCCCTGCGCTGGATGACGACGCTTTTTTTTTTTTCATTGTTTTTGACAGATGTTAATTAAAAATTTTTATGGGGCCGTGTTTTATGCACCCTTTTTCGGAATAAAAAAGAATGAAAAGGTGATAATTAAAAAAAAACGAAAATACAGCCTCCCGGGACTATTTCATACGTATATAACACTCCCTATTACCTATTGTATATAATAAAATACCAATATTATATTTGACCTTTTAATGAATTAGATATAGCTTTTTCATATGTTTTTAATATTTATTTAGTTGAATCAAAGTGGTTTTGTGTGTATCACCCAAAATTTTGGTTTCAGGGGCCCAAAATCACTCCTGGCCGCTTCTCCCCTGGTCATACTGGTTCTCTTCCCTGCTCCTGAGCTTTATCATACCTTTTCTTAAAAAATATGAATGGTTCCTGCCTCCATACATCATTGCCAGCTATTTCCCTTTCCCGACAAAAATTTGCTGAAGAAATACACTTCCAAAAATCCCTTTGACTCGTTTT